AGTCGTCGAGTGCACCACCACCGACAGCGCTCTGCCACGCACAGCACCATGTCAGCATTGGCAACACCAGTGGAACAATGCCCAGCACGCACCGTGAACCGAATGCAAACGCTGCCCGTGGCAAATGGGGGCACAATCAAAGGACCCTCCAGTGGCTGCACGAGCAGACGATCCGCATGGAGTTTGACAGCAGCAGGGACAACTTCATCCTAGAGAATGATCCCGTGCGCAGAGGATACAACGTCACCTTCACACTCGCAATTGTCATTCAATGAATTCATTGCGTGGTACGTCTCTGAGATCCAATACTTCCCGGTATCATCCAGGTCCCTTGTGGATACGTTGATGCGGATGGGCATCCATCCCTCCCAATGACGGTGTATGGCTGCAGCGCACTCACCGCTCAAAAAGGGTGCGTCCCTCACAACAACGCGGATCCAATTCGTGCTGCCGGCACGCATAACATATTCAACAAATCGAGGGTACGTCAAAGTGGCAGCAAAGCACCCGCTGGCAATCACACCATAAACACCATCACATGCAGCAGCACCAGCGTCTCAAACTAATGTGGGGTGTAGAGCAAGTAAGCCATTGATGTGGGTGTTAGGCACATATTTCGTGGCTCGCTGAAGCAACAAGGACCGATTGCGTGGGAGAAACAAAGAACAGGAGAATACAAAAGGGAAAATTCAGCCATCCGCACTTTAAGAAGAAAACCAATCAATGAATTTAAAATGGGTGCACCCAACCACAACACACGCAAAGATTCAAAAAAAAGAGAAACAAAAATGCCGAAGCGTGGGACGACCAGCGCACACACTCTCATTGCTCCCGTAAAGCAAAACACACACAGAGGGAGAGAGAGAGAGGTCGCCCACTCAATGCAATAAAAACAAAACAGTTACGGTGCTCCGCCCATGCAGCCAGGCAGGACGGCAGCGGTGCGTGTCGTGAAAAAGAGAGCACCAACGGGCCTGCATGGGTGTGCATGCATATATACAATGGGCACATTATGTGTGTGCCTCGTGGGGTGAGGTGAGGGCGAGAGTCCATGCAAGGGGACACACACACACACAAGAGGCACGGCTGGATGGCAGCGGTACATGCGGTGCGGCCCCGACATCAACAATCACGCACGGTGGCAGCACACAAAATTCAAATTTAAAAAAAGGCACAAAAAAAAGGTGTAAAAATTAAGAACAAAAAAATGTTATCCGGGGAATATTTCGTTTACGGGAGGACAGTAGTTCTGTGAAGGGGAGGGTCGCAGTGTCCCACGCGGCAGCCAGTCACTCCTCACAGAGCCGCAAACCCCCACAGTCCCAACAGAAGAACAAGCGATGGCAGCACCTCGTTACCAAACACAGTGCCGCCATCACCATGTGCCCCACTGCCACGAGCGGCAACGCCACCCGTTGCTCCCGCCGCCAAATGATCAGCAGAGCACTTCGGGCGAGACACCACGGCCGAAGACGTACGCGCAGCCACACTCTTCGGAATAGAAACTTTGTTTGTTTTAAGCGCATTAATCCCATTGCCATCCAACGGGCAGTTGTACAGCAGGACGTTCGTCACAGTCACAGACACGCCTTCGTTGCTCCCTGTTTTGTCTCCATCCCCTCCAACGCAGAAGTGGGAGACCACATTAATATCCGTATTTTTCAGTTCACATTGCGCATCCCCACACACAAGTTTACCATTGACGTAGATCGAGCCCTGTTTGCCGTTCTGTAGCACAATCGCCACCTGGTACTTTGCGTCTGTCTCCCAAGTGCCGCTGAGCTCCTCGGTCTTTCCGCCACTCTGCAACAATTTCCTCTTCTTTGTTGAACGACAGTCCCAGAAGTACTGGATTCTCTGCGCCATTCATCTTCACACCCATCAATGGAATAGGACCCTCCTTCGTCGGCACATTGTCAATGGACACCGTCGCCACAAGAGTGAAGTTGTGGTTCGCAAGGTGGTACAGCTGATTCTCCCCCTGCTCGCCAACAGGCCGCTCCACCCACGCTCCTTTGAACGTCACTCCGCAGGCATGCAATGTTGCCTTCGCAGCCCCTTCATTATTATTTACCGTGGCGTCCACCCCGAGGTACTCGTCCCTCCATGTGTTACCAGAGAAGTTGCCGGACAAAAAGCCAACCAGCCCATCCGTGATCTTAACACCGCTGCAGTCATTTTCAGTTGGACGGTCCTTCTCAGCACTTGAGGAGCACAGCTGGGAAACGCTTTGGTCCACTTTCTTCCAGGTCACCACCTCCTTCACCCGCTGCAGCTGCGCAGTCAGGAGCACAGAGACCACACCAGGTGATGGTTTGCCCTCAGCGCCCTTCTTCTTCTCGTACAGTGCAATCAACTCCTCATTATTATTAGCTTCACTACTTCTATCACTTCTGTACAACAGGGAGCTGGCGGCAGCATCGTCCCCTTCCCCGGATACCGGCCCAATATCAACAATGTGCGTATTGTCCGTCAGCCAAAGGTGGAGTTCACCCTTTTGAGCGCCTCCCTTCTCAAGCTTCTCGGAATACACCGGCAGAGTAACGAGCATCACGTCCCTGTTCTCGACCGTCGCCGTGATGAACCCGCTTCCAACGCCCTTCTCATGTGGCTTACGGTTGTTGTCCCACACACGCGAGAGTGTTCCGAGTGCCTCCGCCCACGGCCTCCCCCTTGTCACCGATCTCGTACACCCTGCGGCGGCCATCAGCACACGCAGTCATCATGATGAGTGTTTTGTCCTTCCACCCCACGACGGAGGGATCACCGCAGCCACCGTCAGACATCCCCTTCGACAGCGTCCAACTCGCAGCATCCGAGGAGGACATGAGCAGCGAAACATTGTTATTCCCTCCATCCTCCGCAGTGCCATTAACCTTATTCTCCTTCACGGCTTCCGTTGCGAACACAAGCGTGCCATCCTCCATCTTAGCACCCGATCCACCACCTCCAATGTGTCCTGTCAAAGTGTCATCGTTGTCACCGATAGCATTGCACAAAATACTGATGGTATCATTCCAACAAATTCTTTTGGTACTTTCATCCACACCACTGACGTTCCCTTTCACCAGCAAAAGTCCCCACTGAGCCACGCCAGCCACACCTACCTGACAATCAGAGAGACCTTTACTCATGCAGACTCCGGCAAGCATGTAAATATCATTTCCCCTCACAACTGTTGTTGGACGGCTCACATGTACTCTCGTCCCGCCTTGGGAATCATCCTTATCCTCTGTTTTGGAGGCGCAATTCCCTCCATCGGTTGGACATTCCTCCAGCACTTCCGTCCTCACCTCAGTTGCTTCCAGGGCTTTGGGGTTTTTATCGTCCAACTTCATGAATTGTGAGGCAATGCAAGGAAAATGACGCTATCCTTCTCGCACCACGCCTCGGCAACGGCAAACACCTCACCATTCATCCCAACAAGACTGGGAGCATGGAGAGGACTCACTTTTCTCCATCCTTCACATCTCTCCAAAGAAAATATTTCCCCGATGAGGAGCCCTGACGTGACTCGGATACTGCAGCAGCCACAGCCCCAACACTGTTGCAGCACAACATCGCAAGAAGAAGAAAAAGGGGCACCGCGGAGTAGAAGAGATGCCGGGACATGTTGGGACTCCGCCGCTCACTCTCTCCTCCTTCCCACCTCCCGCTGGATCCGGTCACGCGGCGACGGTTGTGTGTGCGGGGTGCCTTCACTGCAGCAACACGTGAGAGCATATAAATATGTGTGTGTGGGCGGTGTGTGTGCTGTCGGTCCTTTCAGAGCCTTCGAATTCCACAGTAGCGATTAGCGCTTGGTAGTAACTTCTTTCCTTTGTGTGTGAGTGGTTTAGAAAAAAAGGAAAAAGAAGTGAAACGCACCGCCACCCATCCACAGTGAGCGGCATCATCATCCGCACCGCATTCACTCCCAACAACAACGACAACTCACGCGCACAGACACACGGAACGAGGAGGAAGAACAGTGCAAAGAGAACACACAACGACTGTTGCCACCAGCAGGAGCCACGGCGGGTGCTTCTGCCACGCGTAAGCACTCTCCGAGCTACGCCGACACAAAACAATCAGCGAGATGCAGAAGGGTACAACTGCCCCTCGCAACACCAACGCGCCATCGCCAGTCACTTTACTGTTGTCTCATCCCACACCCTCCATCGCACATCGCCCCGCACAGCCGGAGAATCTTCCGCCGGTGCACGAACAGCGGGAGGAACACGTCGGCACGTGCAGCTGCCAGGAGTGAATCCATACGCATATCTCCCAGGCTCCCTCAATGCCGCGCCGCCCACGGGCAGCACGCCAAGAAAATCACGCTCGCAGCACGGCAACAAATAAAATCGCAGTCTTCCGTCATCCCTCCTCGAAAGGGCCGCCGCAGCCAAAATATTGTGCGTGTGCGCGTTCTCATCATTCACGCCGCTCCACAGCGTGTGCATGTGTTTGTGTGTTTGTCAGCGCCTATACTTGCAGAGCAGATGTACGGAAAACAAGAGAGTCAAAAAGGCAACAACAGAGAAGCGGATAACACACACGCAAATTACTCATATCATCACACACACACGCAGCCGCGGAATGGGTGCACCCAACCACAACACAAGTAAAACAAAAACAAAAAGAAAAACAATAAACAAAACAAAAAGAAAAAAACCGAAGCGTGGGACGACCAGCGCACACACACTCTCATTGCTCCCGTAAAGCAAAACACACACACAGGGAGAGAGAGAGAGGTCGTCCATTAAAAGCAATGAAAATAAAAATAAAAACAGTTACGGTGCTCCGCCCATGCAGCCAGGCAGGACGGCAGCGGTGCGTGTGGTGCAAAAGAGAGCACCAACGGGCCTGCATGGGTGTGCATGCATACATACAATGGGCACATTATGTGTGTGCTTCGTGGGGTGAGGTGAGGGCGAGAGTCCATGCAAGGGGACACACACACAGAGAGAGAGAAGGACGAGTGTGTGTGCGGGCGGTGCACGGCTCTCTCTCCCTCACTCTCACGCGGCCACCACCGCAGCAGCAGCCGCACAAGCAACAATAAGAAGAAGCAAAAGAGGGGAGGTGGTGTGGGAGACCGCGGTGCTGCCGTCACTGTCGCCAGTCGTCGCCGTCGTATTTTTCGTGGCTGCGGCCGTCACTGGTGTTTCTTTCGGATTGACATCTTTATTTTCATTTTGTTTTCCCGCTGCTGTCCCTGCACCATCAGCTGCTGGATCATCGTCTCCAGTTTTTGGTGTGCTGTTGGGATTTGTTGTATTCGATGCTCCCTCCGCACCAGAAGATAAACTTGGCTGCTCTCCACCGCCTGCTGAGATCACCTCTGTGGTGCCGGTAACAGCTTCTTCTTTCTTTTTCTCCTCCTCTTGCTTCTTATCATCCTCTCCGTCCTCCCTTCTATCATCCTCTTGGTCATCCGTTTCCTCTTCCTCCCCTTCTTCCCCTTCCTCTTCCTCTTCCTCTTCCTCTTCCTCCTCTTCCTCTTCGTCTTCTTCGTCTTCTTCGGCTTCGTCCTTTTCCTCCTTCTCTTCTTTTTCATCCGTTTTTTCTTCTTCTTTTTGACCCTCGGTGTCTATCTTTGCACTTGTCATTTGTGACGCTTCTCCTCCTCCGGGTTGAGTTGCCTGTGACGGCCCCGGTGACAATTCCTGCGATTCTGACCCCGGTGGTGCTGGTGCTTCTGGCACTTTCTGTTGACCGTTTCGGTCAACTCCTGCAGCGACAGCTTTGGTCGCATTGTCGTTTTGAGTGCTCTTTTCGAGCGGAGTACCTCGAGAAGTTGGAGAACCTGGAGGAGTTGCTTCAGAACATCCACCACCGCAGACACCGCACCACAGCACGCAGAGGGCACACACCAGCAGCACACGGCCAGTCATCATCATCATCACGGCTGCACACACAGTCTAGGGAGGGACAAAGAGAAGAGGAGGATGAGAAGAACACACACATCAGCAGCATGGAAAAGGAGGAGTGGCGTTTGCATGAGGGTTGTTGTCATGAGCATGGGGGACGCGTGCACGCAGGAAGAACAGGCAACAATGAAACACCGGACAGCACGGCACACAACTCCACGGCATGTAAAACCCACCCGCAGCTGCCCCCAAAATGGAAGGGAAAGAGGGCGCAACAGTACGGCAGGAACACAGTGATGCCGGTGAAGAAAAGGATCCCAAAACGGCGGGAAAAAGAAACAAAAAACAGTCTTCCCCCACAGCGGCCACATCCAACAACGCAAGCAATAATAACAGAAACAAACACCACACACGGCAACTCACAGCGGCAGTGAGTTCCCTGTCGCCAATCTTCATGGCTGCACGCCACCGCACTCCTCGTGAGCCCATCGCTCCGCTGCCTTCCTCCTTCCCGCGGCTCCCCGCACGAACAGCCACGGCACACAATCGGGTCCATCCACACCCGTCGCCACGCCGCCCTCAGCGACCCAACAGTCAACCGCCCAAAAACCGTTGCGGAAATCACACACCCGCAACAAAGCACGCGACGCAACATCGTGTCACGTGGACCCCGCCATCAGAAGAACGTCATGTCAACCGTTTGGCCGGCACACGGTACAATCAATCAACAGAACAGAGAAGTAATACAGGCACTCAATCAAGGACTCTCCACGCACACAGCCCTTTTGATGCCGCCGCTGCTGCCACGGGCACGGCACCCGAGCGGAAAATGACACGCAGTAAAAAAGGCCTCACAAGAGAGAAACAATCCACACGTCCATATGCAAAGCGCCACTCAGGCTGCTGCGGCTGCAGGGTCCGTAGGCAAAATGCGCCGTACTGAATCCCGCCAGTTATGTCAGTCTCCCCTCCCACCAATGTAGCGCATAATGCACGGCGTGCGTCCACAGGCGTCCACTCCCGGTGCCCTAGCAACACTTCAGAACACACATAATGGAGAAGGGAAGTATCATTACACAATGCCAAAGCAGGTAAATAAAAATAGGGAAATCAAAACCTCACATATCCCTCGTACACGCACACAAACACCCCACAGTATCCTCCAGAAGAAGTCAAACAATTTCTTATCCCAACCCATAATACACGCGTGGTGCCGCCACATTAGCAACCAACACAAAAGAGGGAGAGTGCATACAGCATGTCCCTGGTACAAAGTATACAGACAAGCAGAGTGTATGTATATACTGATAGGAACATGCCAGTTGATATAGGCCTTTCTCTCTTGCACCCACTGCTGAGTGTTGGCACCGCGGCGGCAGCGGCAAGCAGAAGAAGCAGCGGAAAGGGACAATCAGCAGCCGCACTGTTACTGCCGTGGATCGGAGGCGGGGCGTCCTTCATGTCTGCCTCCCAACCCCACACACCACCGCCGCTTCATCCTCCCTCGGCGGAGGGTCCACGGCGCCCTGCGCGTCATCAGCGGCATCAGGGCTCCTGGGTCCCGTGGCTGTGGCACCGCCACCGGCCTTGTCGCTGACGGCCTCATCTCCTAATGATTGTCCCACAACAGACGTCACACCATCGGCGGCCACATCGTCGATGTCCGGAAGATCGCTCTCCTTCTCCGCCTCCTGCGGCGCACCCGCGGTGTCGCTGGGCAAGAGCACTCCGTTGCCGTCGTGGCACCTGAGGCGACTTCCTTCTCCTCTGGCGACGGACGCTTCTGGGGAGCAGCCGTGTCCACATCCTTCGGTGGTGTGCCACGGCCGGTCCCAATGCTCTCTGGATCGGGGACGGATGCCCGTAGCAAAGCTTGTTCAGTAGATGCCGGTGAAACCGTCCTGCTCCACACACCCTCTCACATCGCCACCCCACGAAACCACTGGAAGCAGGCTGCCGCTGGTGGCGGATATCGTGCACACCTGCGCGTGGTCACGGCAAATAGCTTTTCCCTCGTCGTAGGGCGGAGCAACCCACGTAATCGTTGCTCTGTCCGTGCATGGGGCACAACGGGCGTTACCCTTTTCAGTCACTCTCAGACGCACCCGCATGCCGAGGCACCGCAATGCCGCATGCATGACAGCACCGAGATGTATGTTTCTTCCGTGTCCCTCGCATCCGTCGTGTTGGTGGGAGGCGTGTCCAGACACCACGAAGAGGGCTTGTCCCCAGGCACCGCAGACAAACATTCTCCCCTCCAAATAACAGCGGCAGCATTTCTCACATCCAGTGCGGGACCAATGATGGGGCAACTGTCCATCGGGCGTTTTGCTGACCCCTCATGGATAATTCGTCTACACACCAACCACTCGAATACCGATCCAACGTGCAGCGTCTGGCAGGAACGCCCCCTTCGCAGAACATCTGGGGATATTCACTCATGTTCGGTGCGGAGCACTTCCTCTGCAGCAGCGCACAGCACGAATTCCTTCACCAGCGCATCGGCTCCGCCATCTCCCACTTCACCCTCATGCAGCCCAGGTCAGCCGGTGCGGCCAGCGTCAGCTCCGTGCGGCAGCCGGCACAACAAATCGGTGCCATCCACTCATCCCTCGCGTGGCGCTGCGACCAGTGCGACTCCAGCGTCCTCCCGTCACCATCGCCATCCTGCAGCTCCATGCCATCAATGTCGTCGCAGTCACGGGGCTCCTCGCTGCCACCACGGCAGTCGTCGAGTGCGCCACCACCGACAGCGCTCTGCCACGCACAGCACCATGTCAGCATTGGCAACACCAGTGGAACAATGCCCAGCACGCACCGTGAACCGAATGCAAACGCTGCCCGTGGCAAATGGGGGCACAATCAAAGGACCCTCCAGTGGCTGCACGAGCAGACGATCCGCATGGAGTTTGACAGCAGCAGGGACAACTTCATTCTCGAGAATGATCCCGTGCGCAGAGGATACAACGTCGCCTTCACACTCGCAATTGTCATTCAACGAATTCATTGCGTAGTACGTCTCTGAGATCCAATACTTCCCGGTATCATCCAGGTCCCTTGTGGATACGTTGATGCGGATGGGCATCCATCCCTCCCAATGACGGTGTATGGCCGCAGCGCACCAACTGCTCAAAAAGGATGCGTCCCTCCCAACAACGCGGATCCAATTCGTGCTGTCGGCACGCATAACATATTCAACAAATCGAGGGTACGTCAAAGTGACAGCAAAGCACCGCTGGAAATCACACCATAAACACCATCACATGCAGCAGCACCAGCGTCTCAAACTAATGTGGGGTGTAGAGCAAGTAAACCATTGATGTGGGTGTTAGGCAAATATTTCGTGGCTCGCTGAAGCAACAAGGACCGATTGCGTGGGAAGAAACAAAGAACAGGAGAATACAAAAGGGAAAATTCAGCCATCCGCCCTTTAAGAAGAAAACCAATCAACGAAAGTAAAATGGGTGCACCCAACCACAACAGAAGCAAGGATTCAAAACAAAAGAGAAACAAAAATGCCGAAGCGTGGGACGACCAGCACACACACTCTCATTGCTCCCGTAAAGCAAAACACACACACAGGGAGAGAGAGAGAGAGGTCGCCCACTCAATGCAATAAAAACAAAACAGAAACAGTTACGGTGCTCCGCCCATGCAGCCAGGCAGGACGGCAGCGGTGCGTGTCGTCCAAAAGAGAGCACCAACGGCCTGCATGGGTGTGCATGCATATATACAATGGGCACATTATGTGTGTGCCTCGTGGGGTGAGGTGAGGGCGGGAGTCCATGCAAGGGGACACACAGCAAGAGGCACAGCTGGATGGCAGCGGTACATGCGGTACGGCCCCGACATCAACAATCACGCACGGTGGCAGCACACAAAATTCAAATTTTAAAAAAGGCACAGAAAAAAGTTTAAAAATTAAGAACAAAAAATATGTTATCCGGGGAATATTTCGTTTACGGGAGGACAGTAGTTCTGTGAAGGGAGGGTTGCAGTGTCCCACGCGGCAGCCAGTCACTCCTCACAGAGCCGCAAACCCCCACAGTCCCAACAGAAGAACAAGCGATGGCAGCACCTCGTTGCCAAACACAGTGCCGCCACCACCATGTGCCCCACTGCCACGAGCGGCAACGCCACCCGTTGCTCCCGCCGCCAAATGTTCAGCAGAGCACTTCGGGCGAGACACCACGGCTGAAGACGTACGCGCAGCCACACTCTTCGGAATAGAAGCTTTGTTTGCGTTAAGCGCAGTAATCCCATTGCCATCCAACGGGCGGTTGTACAGCAGGACGTTCGTCACATTCACAGACACGCCTTCGTTGCTCCCTGTTTTGTCTCCATCCCCTCCAACGCAGAAGTGGGAGACCACATTAATATCCGTATTTTTCAATTCACATTGCGCATCCCCACACAAGTTTACCATTAACGTAGATCGAGCCCTGTTTGCCGTTCTGTAGCACAATCGCCACCTGGTACTTTGCATCTGCCTCCCAAGTACCGCTGAGCTCCTCGGTCTTTCCGCCACTCTGCAACAATTTCCTCTTCTTTTCTTTGTTGTACGACAGTCCCAGAAGTACTGGATTCTCTGCGTCACTCATCTTCACACCCATCAAAGGAATAGGACCCTCCGTCGTCGGCACCTTGTCGATGGACACCGTCGCCACAAGAGTGAGGTTGTGGTTCGGAAAGTGGTACAGCTGATTCTCCCCCTGACTGCCAACAGGCCACTCCACCCACGCTCCTTTGAACGTCACTCCGCCGGCATGCAATGTTGCCTTCGCAGCCCCTTCATTATTATTTACCGTGGCGCTCACCCCGAGGTACTCGTCCCTCCATGTGTTCTCAGAGAAGTTGCCGGACAAAAAGCCAACCAGCCCATCCGTGATCTTACCACCGCTGCAGTCATTTTCAGTTGGACGGTCCTTCTCAGCACTTGGGGGGCACAGCTGGGAAACGCTTTGGTCCACTTTATTCCAGGTCGCCACCACCTCCTTCACCCGCTGCAGCTGCTCAGTCAGGAGCACAGAGACCACACCAGGTGATGGTTTGCCCCCAGCGCCCTTCTTCTTCTCGTACAGTGCAATCAACTCTTCATTATTATTAGCTTCACCACTTTTGCCACCTTTGTACAGCAGGGAGCTGGCGGCAGCATCGTCCCCTTCCCCGGATACCGGCCCAATATCAACAATGTGCGTATTGTCCGTCAGCCAAAGATGGAGTTCACCCTTTTGAGCGCCTCCCTTCTCAAGCTTCTCGGAATACACCGGCAGAGCAACAAGCATCACGTCCCGGTTCTCAATCGTCGCTGTGATGAACCCGCTTCTTACGCCCTTCTCATGTGGCTTACGGTTGCTGCCCCACACGCGCGAGAGCGTCCCGAGTGCCTCCGTCCACGAATCCCCCTTGTCATCGGACTCGTACACCCTGCGGCGGCCATCAGCACACGCAGTCATCATGATGAGTGTTTTGTCCTTCCACCCCACGACGGAGGGATCACTGCAGCCACCGTCAGACATCCCCTTCGACAGCGTCCAATTCGTATTATCCTTCGAGTGTATGATAAGTGAGATAGTCTTCACATTCACTTCAGTGCCATCCGCCTTCTTCTTCGTGCCTTCCACTGGAAACACAAGAGTCTCGTCCTCCATCTTAACACCCGATCCACCGCTTCCAATCAGCTTTGTCCAGGAATCGAGCTGTGCGTCAAACAGTCTTTGCGGGGAACTCTCAGTATCTTTCCAGACAATTTTTTTGCTATTTGCAACCTCACTGACGTTCCCTTTCACCAGCAAAAGTCCCAATTGATTCGCGTCAGGCTTGGCACTCTGTACGGAAGCGGCAACTTTATTGATGTAGACTCCAACAAGCATGTAAATATCACTTCCCCTCACAACTGTTGTTGGTCGGCTCACATCTACTCTTTTATTTGGGTCTTTGGAAGTACCTCCCTCCAGTAATTGTGTCCCATCGTTGGCATTCTTCAGTACTTCCTCCGGTGTGTCAGTAGTTTTTGTCGTAAGAAGTTGGGATGCAATGCCAGTAAAACTGGCATCATCCTTCTTCCACTTTGCCTCGGCAACGGCAAATACGTCACTCCCCACCTTCAAAAGGCTGGGAGCACCCAACGAGTCCAATTTTTCATCACCGGTGATGCCCTCCCATTTAAACTAGGGATCAGCTGGCTCCTCCATACCAACTTGTTCAGCTCCAGTGCTGCAGCACAACATCACAAAAACAAGGAGCAGCACCGCAGAGTAGAAGAGATGCCGGGACATGTTGGGCCTCTGCGCCTCACTCTCTCCTCCTTCCCTCCTCCTTCCGCTGGATCCGGTCACGCGGCGACGGTTGTGTGTGCGGGGTGCCCTCACTGCAGCAACACGTGAGAGCATATCAATATGTGTGTGTGGGCGGTGTGTGTGCTGTCGGTCCTTCCAGAGCCTTCGAATTCCACAGTAGCGATTAGCGCTTGGTAGTAACTTCTTTCCTTTGTGTGTGAGTGGTTTAGAAAAAAGAGGAAAAAGAAGTGAAACACACCGCCACCCATCCACAGTGAGCGGCATCATCATCCGCACCGCATTCACTCCCAACAACAACAAAAACTCACGCACACACGCAGCCGCGGAATGGGTGCTCACAACCACAAAATCAAAAAGAAAAACAAAACAAAAAGCCGAAGCGTGGGACGACCAGCGCACACACTCTCATTACTCCCGTAAAGCAAAACACACACACAGAGGGAGAGAGAGAGAGGTCGCCCACACAAAGCAATAAAAACAAAAAAAAACAGTTACGGTGCTCCGCCCATGCAGCCAGGCAGGACGGCAGCGGTGCGTGTCGTGCAAAAGAGAGCACCAACGGGCCTGCATGGGTGTGCATGCATATATACAATGGGCACATTATTGTGTGTGCCTCGTGGGGTGAGGTGAGGGCGAGAGTCCATGCAAGGGGACACACACAGAGAGAGAAGGACGAGTGTGTGTGCGGGCGGTGCACGGCTCTCTCTCCCTCACTCTCACGCGGCCACCGCAGCAGCAGCCACAAAAGCAACAATAAGAAGAAGCAAAAGAGGGGAGGTGGTGTGGGAGACCGCGGTGCTGCCGTCACTGTCGCCAGGCGTCGCTGTGCCAGTTTTCATGGCTGCGGCCGTCACTGGTGTTTCTTTCGGATTGGCATCTTTATTTTCACTTTGTTTTTCTTCTCTTGTCCCTGCACCATCAGCTGCTGGATCATCGTCTCCAGTTGTTGGTGTGCTGTTGGGATTTGTTATATTCGATGCTCCCTCTGCAGCAGAAGATGAACTTGGCTGCTCTCCACCGCCTGCTGAGATCCCCTCTGTGGTGCCGGTAATAGCTCCTTCTTTCTTTGTTTCTTCCTCTTCATTCTCTCTCGTATCATCCTCTTCCTCCCCTTCTTCCCCTTCCTCTTCCTCCTCTTCCTCTTCGTCTTCCTCCTCTTCCACTTCTTCCTCTTCGTCTTCTTGTTGTTTCTCCTCTTCCTCTTCCTCCTTTTTACCTTCTGTATTTCCACCCTTGTTTTCCGTCGTTGGACTTGCCGTTACTGATGCTTCTCCTTCGGGTTTTGTTGCCGGTGACGGGCCCGGTGCCGCTTCCGGTGATCCTGACCCCGTTGGTGATGCTGGTGCTTGTGGCGCTGCCGGTTTACCGCTTTCGTCACCTCCTTCAGCGCCAACGACGGCCACTTTTTCTTTTTTAGGATCATTTTCGGACGGATTACCCGAAGAACCTGGAGTTGTTTCAGATCGTTCACCACCGCAGGCACCGCACCACAGCACGCAGAGGGCACACACCAGCAGCACACGGCCAGTCATCGTCATCATCACGGCTGCACACACAGTCTAGGGAGGGACAAAGAGAGGAGGAGGATGAGAAGAACACACACACATCAGCAGCATGGAAAAAAAGGGAAGGTGCTGACATGAGGGTTGTTGTCATGAGCATGGGGGACGCGTGCACGCAGGAAGAACAGGCAACAATGAAACACCGGACAGCACGGCACACAACTCCACGGCATGTAAAACCCACCCGCAGCTGCCCCCAAAATGGAAGGGAAAGAGGGTGCAACAGTACGGCAAGAAAACAGTGATGCCGGTGCAGAAAAGGATCCCAAAACGGCGTGAAAAAGAAACAAAAAACAGTCTTCCCCCACAGCGGTCACATCCAACAACGCAAGCAATAATAACAGAAACAAACACCACACACGGCAACTCACAGCGGCAGTGAGTTCCCTGTCGCCAATCTTCATGGCTGCACGCCACCGCACTCCTCGTGAGTCCATCGCTCCGCTGCCCTCCTCCTTCCCGCGGCTCCCCCGCACGAACAGCCACGGCACACAATCGGGTCCATCCACACCCGTCGCCACGCCGTCCTCAACGACCCAACAGTCAACCGCCCAAAAACCGTTGCTGAAATCACACACCCACAACAAAGCACGCGACGCAACATCATGTCACGCGGACCCCGCCGTCAGAAGAACGTCATGCCAACCGTTTGGCCGGCGCACGGTACAATCAAACGAGAGAACAGAGAAGTAAGACAGGCACTCAATCAAGGACTCTCCACGCACACAGCCCTTTTGATGCCGCCGCTGCTGCCACGGGCACGGTACCCGAACGGAGAATGACAAGCAGTAAGAAAGGCCTCGCAAGAGAGAAACAATCCACACGTCCATATGCAAAGCGCCACTCAGGCTGCTGCGGCCGCAGGGTCCGTGGGCAAAAATGCGCCTTACTGAATCCCGCCAGTTATGTCAGTCTCCCCTCCCACCAATGTAGTGCATAATGCACGGCGTGCGTCCACAGGCATCCACTCCCGGTGCCCTAGCAACACTTCAGAACACACATAATGGAGAAGGGAAGTATCATTACACAATGCCAAAGCAGTTAAATAAAAATAGGGAAATCAAAACCACACAGATCCCTCGCACACGCACACAAACACCTCACAGTATCCTCCAGAAGAAGTCAAACAATTTCTTATACCAACCCATAATACACGCGTAGTGCCGCCACATCAGCGAACAACACAAAAGAGGGAGAGTGCATACAGCATGTCCCTGGTACAAAGTATACAGACAAGCAGAGTGTATGTATACACTGACAGGAACATGCCAGTTGATATGGGCCTTTCTCTCTTGCACCCACTGCTGAGTGTTGGCACCGCGGCGGCAGCGGCAAGCAGAATAATCAGCGGAAAGGGACGAGCAGCAGCCGCACTGTTATTGCCGTGGATCGGAGGCGGGGCGTCCTTCATGTCTGCCTCCCAACCCCCGCGCCCCACCGCCACTTCATCCTCCCTCGGCGGAGGGTCCACGGCGCCCTGCGCGTCATCAGCGGCATCAGGGCTCCTGGGTCCCGTGGCTGTGGCACCGCCACCGGCCTTGTCGCTGACGGCCTCATCTCATAATGATTGTCCCACAACAGACGTCACACCATCGGCGGCCACATCGTCGATGTCCGGAGGATCGCTCTCCTTCTCCGCCTCCTGCGGCGCACCCGCGGTGTCGCTGGGCAAGAGCACTCCGTTGCCGTCGTGGCACCTGAGGCGACTTCCTTCTCCTCTGGCGACGGATGCTTCTGGGGAGCAGCCGTGTCCACATCCTTCGGTGGTGTGCCACGGCCGGTCCCAATGCTCTCTGGATCGGGGACGGATGCCCGTAGCAAAGCTTGTTCAGTAGATGCCAGTGAAACCGTCCTGCTCCATAAATCCTCTCACATCGCCACCACACGGAACCACTGGAAGCAGCCTGCCGCTGGTGGCGGATATCGTGCACACCTGCGCGTGGTCACGGAAAATAGCTTTTCCCTCGTCGTAGGGCGGAGCAACCCACGTAATCGTCGCCTCGGCCGTGCATGGGACACAACGGGCGTTACCCTCTTCAGTCACTCTCAGACGCACCCGCATGCCGAGGCACCGCAATGCCGCATGCATGACAGCACCGAGATGTATGTTTCTTCCGGGTCCCTCGCATCCGTCGTGTTGGTGGGAAGCGTGTCCAGACACCATGAAGAGGGCTTGTCCCCATGCACCGCAGACAAACATTCTCCCCTCCAAATAACAGCGGCAGCATCCCTCACATCCAGTGCGGGACCAATGATGGGGCAACTGTCCATCGGGCGTTTTGCTGGCCCTTCATGGATAATTCGTCTACACACCAACCACTGGAATACCGATCCAACGTGCAGCGTCTGGCAGGAACTCCCGCTTCGCAGAACATCTGGGGATATTCACTCATGTTCGGTGCGGAGCACTTCCTCTGCAGCAGCACACAGTTCGAATTCCTTCACCAGCGCATCGGCTCCGCCATCTCCCACTTCACCCTCATGCAGCCAAGGTCAGCCGGTGCGGCCAGCGTCAGCTCCGTGCGGCAGCCGGCACTCCCAATCGGTGCCATCCACTCATCCCTCGCATGGCGCTGCGACCAGTGCGACTCCAGCGTCCTCCCGTCACCATCGCCATCCTGCAGCTCCATGCCATCAATGTCGTCGCTGTCGCGGGGCTCCTCGCAGCCACCACGGCAGTCGTCGAGTGCACCACCACCGACAGCGCTCTGCCACGCACAGCACCATGTCAGCATTGGCAACACCAGTGGAACAATGCCCAGCACGCACCGTGAACCGAATGCAAACGCTGCCCGTGGCAAATGGGGGCACAATCAAAGGACCCTCCAGTGGTTGCACGAGCAGACGATCCGCATGCGGTTTGAAAGCAGCAGGGACAACTTCATCCTCGAGAATGATCCCGTGCGCAGAGGATACAACGTCACCTTCACACTCGCAATTGTCATTCAATGAATTCATTGCGTGATACCTCTCTGAGATCCAATACTTCCCGGTAGCATCCAGGTCCCTTGTGGATACGTTGATGCGGATGGGCATCCATCCCTCCCAATGACGGTGTATGGCTGCAGCGCACCACTGCTCAAAAAGGATGCGTCCCTCCCAACAACGCGGATCCAATTCTTGCTGTCGGCACGCATAACATATTCAACAAATCGAGGGTACGTCAAAGTGACAGCAAAGCACCGCTGGCAATCACACCATAAACACCATCACATGCAGCAGCACCAGCGTCTCAAACTAATGTGGGGTGTAGAGCAAGTAGGCCATTGATGTGGGCGTTAGGCAAATATTTCGTGGCTCGCTGAAGCAACAAGGACCGATTGCGTGGGAAGAAACAAAGAACAGGAGAATACAAAAGGGAAAATTCAGCCATCCGCACTTTAAGAAGAAAACAAATCAACGAAAGTAAAATGGGTGCACCCAACCACAACAGAAGCAAGGATTCAAAACAAAAGAGAAAGAAAAAGCCGAAGCGTGGGACGACCAGCACACACACTCTCATTGCTCCCGTAAAGCAAAACACACACACAGGGAGAGAGAGAGAGGTCGCCCACTCAATGCAATAAAAACAAAACAGAAACAGTTACGGTGCTCCGCCCATGCAGCCAGACAGGACGGCAGCGGTGCGTGTCGTGCAAAAAAGAGCACCAACGGGCCTGCATGGGTGTGCATGCATATATACAATGGACACATTATGTGTGTGCCTCGTGGGGTGAGGTGAGGGCGGGAGTCCATGCAAGGGGACACACAGCAAGAGGCACAGCTGGATGGCAGCGGTACATGCGGTGCGGCCCCGACATCAACAATCACGCACGGTGGCAGCACACAAAATTCAAATTTAAAAAAAGGCACAGAAAAAAAGTTTAAAAATTAAGAACAAAAAATATGTTATCCGGGGAATATTTCGTTTACGGGAGGACAGTAGTTCTGTGAAGGGAGGGTTGCAGTGTCCCACGCGGCAGCCAGTCACTCCTCACAGAGCCGCAAACCCCCACAGTCCCAACAGAAGAACAAGCGATGGCAGCACCTCGTTGCCAAACACAGTGCCGCCACCACCATGTGCCCCACTCTCACGAGCGGCAACGCCACCCGTTGCTCCCGCCGCCAAATGATCAGCAGAGCACTTCGGGCTAGACACCACGGCTGAAGACGTACGCGCAGCCACAGTCTTCGGAATAGAAACTTTGTTTGCGTTAAGCGCAGTAATCCCATTGCCATCCAACGGGCAGTTGTACAGCAGGGCGTTCGTCACATTCACAGACACGCCTTCGTTGCTCCCTGTTTTGTCTCCATCCCCTCCAATGCAGAAGTGGGAGACCACATTAATATCCGTATTTTTCAATTCACATTGCGCATCCCCACACAAGTTTACCATTAACGTAGATCGAGCCCTGGGTGCCGTTCTGTAGCACAATCGCCACCTGGTACTTTGCATCTGCCTCCCAAGTACCGCTGAGCTCCTCGGTCTTTCCGCCACTCTGCAACAATTTCCACTTCATTTCGTTGTTGTACGACAGTCCCAGAAGTACTGGATTCTCTGCGTCACTCATCTTCACACCCATCAAAGGAATAGGACCCTCCGTCGTCGGCACCTTGTCGATGGACACCGTCGCCACAAGAGTGAGGTTGTGATTCGCAAAGTGGTACAGCTGATTCTCCCCCTGACTGCCAACAGGCCACTCCACCCACGCTCCTTTGAACGTCACTCCGCCGGCATGCAATGTTGCCTTCGCAGCCCCTTCACTATTACTTACTGTGGCGTTCACCCCGAGGTACTCGTCCCTCCATGTGTTCTCAGAGAAGTTGCCGGACAAAAAGCCAACCAGCCCATCCGTGATCTTAACACCGCTGCAGTCATTTTCAGTTGGACGGTCCTTCTCAGCACTTGGGGGGCACAGCTGGGAAACGCTTTGGTCCACTTTATTCCAGGTCGCCACCACCTCCTTCACCCGCTGCAGCTGCTCAGTCAGGAGCACAGAGACCACACCAGGTGATGGTTTGCCCCCAGCGCCCTTCTTCTTCTCGTACAGTGCAATCAACTCTTCATTATTATTAGCTTCACCACTTTTGCCACCTTTGTACAGCAGGGAGCTGGCGGCAGCATCGTCCCCTTCCCCGGATACCGGCCCAATATCAACAATGTGCGTATTGTCCGTCAGCCAAAGATGGAGTTCACCCTTTTGAGCGCCTCCCTTCTCAAGCTTCTCGGAATACACCGGCAGAGCAACAAGCATCACGTCCCGGTTCTCAATCGTCGCTGTGATGAACCCGCTTCCAACGCCCTTCTCATGTGGCTTACGGTTGCTGCCCCACACACGCGAGAGTGTCCCGAGTGCCTCCGTCCACGGCCTCCCGTTGTCACCGATCTCGTACACCCTGCGGCGGCCATCATCACACGCAGTCATCATGATGAGTGTTTTGTCCTTCCACCCCACGACGGAGGGATCACTGCAGCCGCCGTCAGACATCCCCTTCGACAGCGTCCAATTTGCAGCATCCGAGGAGGATATGAGCAGCGAAACATTGTTATTCCCTCCATCCTCCGCAGTGCCATTAACCCTATTCTCCTTCACGGCTTCCGTTGCGAACACAAGCGTACCGTCCTCCATCTTAGCACCCGATCCACCACCGCCAATGTGTCCTGTCAAAGTGTCATCGTTGTCACCGATAGCATTGCACAAAATACTGATGGTATCATTCCAATAAATTCTTTTGGTACTTTCATCCACACCACTGACGTTCCCTTTCACCAGCAAAAGTCCCCACTGAGCCACGCCAGCCACACCTACCTGACAATTAGAGAGACCTTTACTCATGCAGACTCCTGTAAGCATGTAAATATCATTTCCCTTCACAACTGTTGTTGGACGGCTCACATGTACTCTCGTCCCGCCTTGGGAATCATCCTTATCCTCTGTTTTGGAGGCGCAATTCCCTCCATCGGTTGGACATTCCTCCAGCACTTCCGTCCTCACCTCAGTTGCTTCCAGGGCTTTGGGGGTTTTGTCGTCCAATTTCATGAATTGTGAAGCAATGCAAGGAAAAATGACGCTATCCTTCTCGCACCACGCCTCGGCAACGGCAAACACCTCACCATTCATCCCAACAAGTCTGGGAGCATGGAGAGGACTCACTTTTCTCCATCCTTCACATCTCTCGAAACAAAATATTTCCCCGCTGAAGAGCCCTGACGTGACTCGGATCCTGCAGCAGCCACAGCCCCAACACTGTTGCAGCACAACATCGCAAGAAGAAGAAAAAGGGGCACCGCGGAGTAGAAGAGATGCCGGGACATGTTGGGCATCCGCCGCTCACTCTCCCTTCATTCCCTTCTCCTTCCGCTGGATCCGGTCACGCGGCGACGGTTGTGTGTGCGGGGTGCCTCCACTGCAGCAACACGTGAGAGCATATAAATATGTGTGGGTGGGCGGTGTGTGCTGTTGGTCCTTTCAGAGCCTTCGAATTCCACAGTAGCGATTAGCGCTTGGTAGTAACTTCTTTCCTTTGTGTGTGAGTGGTTTAGAAAAAAGAGGAAAAAGAAGTGAAACGCACCGCCACCCATCCACAGTGAGCGGCATCATCATCCGCACCGCATTCACTCCCAACAACAACGACAACCCACGCGCACAGACACACGGAACGAGGAGGAAGAACAGTGCAAAGAGAACACACAACAACTGTTGCCACCAGCAGGAGCCACGGCGGGTGCTTCTGCCACGCGTCAGCACTCTCCGAGATACGCCGACACACAAAACAATCGGCGAGATGCAGAAGGGTACAACTGCCCCTCGCAACACCAACGCGCCATCGCCAGTCACTTTACTGTTGTCTCATCCCACACCCTCCATCGCACATCGCCCCGCACAGCCGGAGAATCCTCCGTCGGTGCACGAACAGCGGGAGGAACACGTCGGCACGTGCAGCTGCCAGGAGAGAATCCATACGCATATCTCCCAGGCTCCCTCAATGCCGCGCCGCACACGGGCAGCACGCCAAGAAAATCACGCTCGCAGCACGGCAAAAAAATAAAACCGCAGTCTTCCGTCATCCCTCCTCGAAAGGGCCGCCGCAGCCAAAATATTGTGCGTGTGCGCGTTCTCATCATTCACGCCGCTCCACAGCGTGTGCATGTGTTTGTGTGTTTGTCAGCGCCTATACTTGCAGAGCAGATGTACGGAACACAAGAGAGTCAAAAAAGCAACGGCAGAGAGAGGCAGATAGCACACACGCAAATTACTCATATCATCACACACACACGCAGCCGCGGAATGGGTGCACTCAACCACAAAATCAAAAAGGAAAACAAAACAAAAAGCCGAAGCGTGGGACGACCAGCGCACACACTCTCATTGCTCCCGTAAAGCAAAACACACACACAGGGAGAGAGAGAGAGGTCGCCCACTCAATGCAATAAAAACAAAACAGAAACAGTTGCGGTGCTCCGCCCATGCAGCCAGGCAGGACGGCAGCGGTGCGTGTCGTGCAAAAGAAAGCACCAACGGGCCTGCATGGGTGTGCATGCATATATACAATGGGCACATTATTGTGTGTGCTTCGTGGGGTGAGGTGAGGGCGAGAGTCCATGCAAGGGGACACACACAGAGAGAGAAGGACGAGTGTGTGTGCGGGCGGTGCACGGCTCTCTCTCCCTCACTCTCACGCGGCCACCACCGCAGCAGCAGCTGCACACGCAACAACAGGAAGAAGAAGCAAAAGAGGGGAGGTGGTGTGGGAGACCGCGGTGCTGCCGTCACTGTCGCCAGTCGTCGCCGTCGTAGTTTTCATGGCTGCGGCCGTCACTGGTGTTTCTTTCGGATTGGCATCTTTATTTTCATTTTGTTTTTCTTTTCGTTTCTCTGCAACATCAGCTGCTGGGTCACTGCTCGGGATGCCGTCTTCAGTGCTCTTGTCAAAATCATTATTGGCGGCATCACCGTTTGCCGTGGGTGATGGTGGCCCTGATTCTCCATGGTCGGCAGATGGTTCCTTCTGTTGATTGGCTGCGATGGAGTCAACGCTCTTTGTTTGTGAATTGTGGTTTGAGTCCTTTTTGCCTTGGACTTCTTCTGACTGTTTCACACCCTCTAAAGCCTCAGGGCTGGACTGTCCATTCGGTTCCGTTGTTGCTGTTTGTATTTCTGTGTGTTTGGTCAGACCTCCAGGTGTCTCCGTTGGTGCCTGATTGCTTGCGTTTTTTTTGTCTTCTTCTGTTTCTTTTTCTTCCGCCTCTCCTTCACGACTGTCAGGTTTACTGCGAGGATCTTTTTCTTCTTCTTGCGGCGGGCTATCGGAGGTTTCGCTACTCTTGGAATTTTCCTTCACAACGGGTTGTTTGACACCCTCAGTTTCAGAGCTGCCAGATGAAGAAGAAGAAGACAATTGTTCAGCTCTTTGGTGTTTGGAATCAACTTCATTAACGTCCTCGTGATCCTTCTTAGCTCCTGCTACGTTTCCATCACTTGTACCCACCACTTCTAATTCCCTAACCTGTTCTTCTGTACCTGATCCTCCAAACGTCGGTGCTGCTGGTGCTGCTGCTTGTCCTGCGACACCCACATCTCCTGAACCAACAGCTTCACTGCCATTCGTATCACCTTCCAATGCCTTATCTTTCGAATTACCCGATGAGTCTGGAACACTCAATCCTGATCCAGCTTCCTCAGCTTCAACCGCCCTTATTAATCCCATTCGAGTCGATAACAGCCCGCAGTCCGCCTTTAGGGACACGCCGTCATCTCCACCATTACTCAAACCGTTCCCTCCACCCTCACCGCAGTAATCCTCCATCGCGTGTCCAAAAACAGCACCGCACCACAGCACGCAGAGGGCACACACCAGCAGCACACGGCCAGCCATCATCATCGCCATCACTCCCGTCACTTGCGTGTAGCCTTCAGCACAAACTAACAACACGTCAACGCAGAGCAAAAGCAAAGAGAGACAAGTCACACAGCCACGCACCGTCCCATCCAGCAATGAGAGTCACGCACCACAACAACAATTGGGTGGGCGCGGTCCAACAACAATCAAAAAACAAAAGAATTAATCCTCGTCATGACCCGTTCCTCACGCCCACACGGTCACTATTACTGTTATTCTCTCTACTCAGGCCCTCACAGGCACGCCACGCTCACTCCAGCACGCGCCCCTCCAGCACAGGCCTCAGAATCGTCGGGCCCTCCAGCACACGCAGCCGTCATGCGCTCCCGCCGCGCCGCAACGTACGCCACCTCCTCCCAGTCCAGCAGCTCCGTGTCCTCCACGTCCTCCACAATCGCCGCCATGCCACCGCCACTCACACCCACAGCGCCACAATGTCGTGCCGCCTCTCCTCAAAAATTATGAGCGCAACGCTCAACGCGTAACGCTCAACGCGTACTCGCGCACGTGCCCCATGTGCTGCAACCACATGCAAATCGGGTTGGCCGTCATGGAACGCATCTTTTTTTCCTCGTTGTACTTGCAGCGGCACCAAAAAGTCGTGTAGCCGGCGGCACCGCAGTGCTGGAAGAAATGCGGAGCAGCAACCGTGCGAGTGTCCGTCTTACTGTACTCGCGGTTTAACGCTTCCAGCAAGAACGGGATCAGCGGCAGCTCATCCAGCGGGTTCGCCCTCTTATTCCTCCTTCGGCGCCTCGTCCTCCTCCACAGCAGCAGCTGTCACTGCCCTACACCACGCTCCTGCTGCAATCACTCTCACAGAGAGGGAAGAGTGTGTGTGTGTGTGCCGAGAGCACAGCGACTGTCATTGCCAGAAGAGGCCATCGTGGCACCGTCCATCACACGCCAGCGCACAAAAAGCAGGTAAGGCCAACAACCGGCAAAGCAAATACATTCTTGCATAGCACTGTGCAAATACTCATGTGACTGTGTACGTGTGCTGTGGGAGGAGCTAAAAAGAAGAAGAGCACAGGGAGGCAAATCAACACAGCAAGAGGAACAGCTGGATGGCTTCGGTACAAGCGGCACGGCCCCGACATCAACAATCACGCACGGTGGCAACGCACTCACATCCACAAAACAAAACAAAAGAAAACAAAAGAAAAAACACGGCGGCAGGGTGTGGCTGTGTGTGTGGTGCTGCGGGTGTCTGCCAGAACTGGCCGCAAAGAAAACAAAACAAGAGGGAAGAAATGTGTGCTCCGCCCCACAGGCCCTCGTCGCACGCCCACACGTCACGGCTCCCTCAGCGCGCCGTTCGTCGCGGCCCCTCCTCATGCGTGCAGCAGGCGAGGCGCACAGGGCCGTCGTCATGAGCGTGTCGGTGGTGTGCGAGTGGAGCAGTTGGGCGGGAACACACGGCACCCCTCACAGGAAGAGTGCAGCAACAAACAATTAAAGAGGGAAGAGTAGAAAAGAAAAAGAGGTCCATAGTGATTGCCCGAAAAAGCGAAAAAAAAAAGGGATGGGGATATGAGAGATAAAAACGAAAAAAGATTTAAACCAGAAATTAGCAAACATTAAGATAAACTTAAAATACGAAAAAAAAGTAAACGTATCAGAGATATTCGTTCCAGGGAAGTAGTTCTGTGCAGGGAAGGTCGCAGTGTCCCACGCGGCAGCCAGTCACTCCTCACAGAGCCGCAAACCCCCACAGTCCCAACAGAAAAACAAGCGATGGCAGCACCTCGTTGCCAAACACAGTGCCGGCATCACCATGTGCCCCACTCTCACGAGCGGCAACGCCACCCGTTGCTCCCGCCGCCAAATGTTCAGCAGAGCACTTCGGGCGAGACACCACGGCTGAAGACGTACGCGCAGCCACACTCTTCGGAATAGAAGCTTTGTTTGCGTTAAGCGCATTAATCCCATTGCCATCCAACGGGCGGTTGTACAGCAGGACGTTCGTCACAGTCACAGACACGCCTTCGTTGCTCCCTGTTTTGTCTCCATCCCCTCCAATGCAGAAGTGGGAGACCACATTAATATCCGTATTTTTCAGTTCACATTGCGCATCCCCACACACAAGTTTACCATTGACGTAGATCGAGCCCTGTTTGCCGTTCTGTAGCACAATCGCCACCTGGTACTTTGCATCTGCCTCCCAAGTACCGCTGAGCTCCTCGGTCTTTCCACCACTCTGCAACAATTTCCACTTCTTTTCGTTGTTGTACGACAGTCCCAGAAGTACCGGATTCTCTGCGCCATTCATCTTCACACCCATCAAAGGAATAGGGCCCTCCCTCGTCGGCACCTTGTCGATGGACACCGTCGCCACAAGAGTGAAGTTGTAGTTCGCAAAGTGGTACAGCTGATTCTCCCCCTGCTCGCCAACAGGCCACTCCACACACGCTCCTTTGAACGTCACTCCGCCGGCATGCAATGTTGCCTTCGCAGCCCCTTCACTGTGACGTCCACCCCGAGGTACTCGTCCCTCCATGTGTTACCAGAGAAGTTGCCGGACAAAAAGCCAACCAGCCCATCCGTGATCTTAACACCGCTGCAGTCATTTTCATTTGGACGGTCCTTCTCAGCACTTGGGGGGCACAGCTGGGAAACGCTTTGGTCCACTTTATTCCACGTCGCCAGCACATCCTTCACACGCTGCAGCTGCTCACTCAGGAGCACAGAGACCACACCAGGTGATGGTTTGCCCCCAGCGCCCTTCTTCTTCTCGTACAGTGCAATCAACTCTTCACTATTATTAGCTTCACCACTTTTACCACTGTTGTACAGCGGGGAGCTGGCGGCAGCATCGTCTCCTTCCCCGGATACCGGCCCAATATCAACAATGTGCGTATTGTCCGTCAGCCAAAGATGGAGTTCACCCTTTTGAGCGCCTCCCTTCTCAAGCTTCTCGGAATACGCCGGCAGAGCAACAAGCATCACGTCCCGGTTCTCAATCGTCGCTGTGATGAACCCGCTTCCAACGCCCTTCTCATGTGGCTTACGGTTGCTGCCCCACACACGCGAGAGTGTCCCGAGTGCCTCCGTCCACGGCCTCCCCTTGTCACCGATCTCGTACACCCTGCGGCGGCCATCATCACACGCAGTCATCATCATGAGTTTTTTGTCCTTCCACTCCACGACGGAGGGATCACTGCAGCCACCGTCAGACATCCCCTTCGACAGCGTCCAATTTGCAGCATCCGAGGAGTATATGAGCAGCGAAACATTGTTATTCCCCCCATCCTCCGCAGTGCCATTAACCTTATTTTCCTTCACGGCTTCCGTTGCGAACACAAGCGTGCCATCCTCCATCTTAGCACCCGATCCACCACCGCCAATGTGTCCTGTCAAAGTGTCATCGTTGTCACCGATAGCATTGCACAAAATACTGATGGTATCATTCCAACAAATTCTTTTGGTACTTTCATCCACACCACTGGCGTTCCCTTTCACCAGCAAAAGTCCCCACTGAGCCACGCCAGCCACACCTACCTGACAATCAGAGAGACCTTTACTCATGCAGACTCCGGCAAGCATGTAAATATCATTTCCCTTCACAACTGTTGTTGGACGGCCCACATGTACTCTCGTCCCGCCTTGGGAATCATCCTTATCCTCTGTTTTGGAGGCGCAATTCCCTCCATCGGTTGGACATTCCTCCAGCACTTCCGTCCTCACCTCAGTTGCTTCCAGGGCTTTGGGGTTTTTGTCGTCCAACTTCATGAATTGTGAAGCAATGCAAGGAAAATGACGCTATCCTTCTCGCACCACGCCTCGGCAACGGCAAACACCTCACCATTCATCCCAACAAGACTGGGAGCATGGAGAGGACTCACTTTTCTCCATCCTTCACATCTCTCCAAACAAAAAATTTCCCCGCTGAGGAGCCCTGACGTGACTCGGATCCGGCAGCAGCCACAGCCCCAACACTGTTGCAGCACAACATCGCAAGAAGAAGAAAAAGGGGCACCGCAGAGTAGAATAGATGCCGGGACATGTTGGGCATCCGCCGCTCACTCTCTCCTCCTTCCCTCCTCCTTCCGCTGGATCCGGTCACGCGGCGACGGTTGTGTGTGCGGGGTGCCTTCACAGCAGCAACACGTGAGAGCATATAAATATGTGTGGGCGGTGTGTGTGCTGTCGGTCCTTTCAGAGCCTTCGGATTTCACAGTAGCGATTAGCGCTTGTTTGCTTTCTTCGTGTGTGATTGAGTGAGAAATAGAGAAACATGCCAAGAAAAGAGTTGACACAGTAAGCACCGCCACCCATCCACAGTGAGTGGCATCATCATCCGTACAGCAGTCACTCCCAACAACAACTCACGCACACAGACACACGGAATTAGAAGAAAGAACAGTGCACCAGGAACACACAGCGACGGTCACCACCAGAAGAAGCAGCAGGAGGCACAGCGGGTGCGTTGCTATTCGTCACGCTTCAGCAGACACTGAACAACGTCCACACACAAAGCAACCAGCGGGAGGCAAAAGGGCACAGCCGCACATCACAGCACTCATGCGCTGCCGCCAGTCATTTGGCTGCTGTCTCCTCCAACGCACACGCACATCATTCCACACAGCCGGAGAATCCCTTGTCGACAAAACCACGACGGGAGAGACACGTCGGCAGGTACAGCTGTTGGGGGAAAGTCGATAGGCACTCGTCCCAGACATCCTCAACGCCACACCATTCAATTGCTGTACGCCGCCAAAATAACAACCGCATCACGTCAACGAGGCAAATCGTGGGCTCACGACCTCCTTCCTCGCAAGAGCAACCGCAGACAAAATATTGTGCGTGCGTGCGTTCTCAGCGTCCACGCCACTCCACAGCGTGTGAAACAAAGAGATTCTGCGCATTTGTCTGTGTGTTTTTCAAAGCCTAAAATTACGGAGCTGCCTTGCGATACGAGAGAGTCTGAAGAAAGCAACGGCAGAGAGAGGCAGATAGCACACACGCAAATTACTCATAAAGTCCCACACACACACACACACGCAGCCGCGGAATGGGTGCACTCAACCACAAAATCAAAAAGGAAAACAAAACAAAAAGCCGAAGCGTGGGACGACCAGCACACACACACTCGTTGCTCCCGTAAAGCAAAACACACACACAGAGGGAGAGAGAGAGAGGTCGCCCACTCAATGCAATAGAAACAAAACAGAAACAGTTACGGTGCTCCGCCCATGCAGCCAGGCAGGACGGCAGCGGTGCGTGTCGTGCAAAAGAGAGCACCAACGGCCCTGCATGGGTGTGCATGCATATATACAATGGGCACATTATTGTGTGCGTTTCGTGGGGTGAGGTGAGGGCGAGAGTCCATGCAAGTGGACACACACAGAGAGAGAGAAGGAAGAGTGTGTGTGCGGGCGGTGCATGGCTCTCTCACACTCACTCTCACGCGGCCACCACCGCAGCCGCAGCTGCACACGCAACAACAAGAAGAAGCAAAAGAGGGGAGGTGGTGTGGGAGACCGCGGTGCTGCCGTCACTGTCGCCAGTCGTCGCCGTCGTATTTTTCATGGCTGTGGCCGTCACTGGTGTTTCTTTCGGATTGGCATCTTTATTTTCACTTTGTTTTCCCTCCGCTGTCCCTGCACCATCAGCTGCTGGATCATCGTCCCCAGTTGTGTGGGTGCTGTTGGGATTTGTTATATTCGATGCTCCCTCCGCAGCAGAAGATGAACTTGGCTGCTCTCCACCGCCTGCTGAGATCCCCTCTGTGGTGCCGGTAATAGCTCCTTCTTTCTTTGTAACTTCCTCTTCATTCTCTCTCGTATCATCCTCTTCCTCCCCTTCTTCCCCTTCCTCTTCCTCTTCCTCCTCTTCCTCTTCGTCTTCCTCCTCTTCCTCTTCGTCTTCTTCGGCTTCGTCCTTTTCCTCCTTCTCTTCTTTTTCATCCGTTTTTTTCTTCTTCTTTTTGACCCTTGCTGTCTATCTTTGCACTTGTCATTTGTGACGCTTCTCCTCCTTCGGATTGTGTTGCCTGTGACGAGTTCGCTGGCGCTTTCGCTGTCACTTCCGGTGATCCTGACGTCGTTGATGCGGGTTCTTGTGACGCTGCATGTTCACTGGTTTCGCCACCTCCTCCAGCGCCAACGACGGTCACATTGCCGTTTTGAGGTATCTCTTTACGGGACGGAATACCCGGAGAACCTGGAGGAGCTGGAGTTGCTTCAGCTCGTCCACCACCGCAGACACCGCACCACAGCACGCAGAGGGCACACACCAGCAGCACACGGCCAGTCATCGTCATCATCACGGCTGCACACACAGTCTAGGGAGGGACAAACAGAGGAGGATGAGAAGAACACACACACATCAGCAGCATGGAAAAGGAGGAGTAGCGTTTGCATGAGGGTTGTTGTCATGAGCATGGGGGACGCGTGCACGCAGGAAGAACAGGCAACAATGAAACACCGGACAGCACGGCACACAACTCCACGGCATGTAAAACCCACCCGCAGCTGCCCCCAAATGGAAGGGAAAGAGGGCGCAACAGTGCGGCAAGAACACAGTGATGCCGGTGCGGAAAAGAATCCCAAAACGGCGTGAAAAAGAAACAAAAAACAGTCTTCCCCCACAGCGGCCACACATCCAACAACGCAAGTAATAATAACAGAAACAAACACCACACACGGCGACTCACAGCGGCAGTGAGTTCCCTGTCGCCAATCTTCATGGCTGCACGCTACCGCACTCCTCGTGAGTCCATCGCTCCGCTGCCCTCCTCCTTCCCACGGCTCCCCCGCACGAACAGCCACGGCACACAATCGGGTCCATCCACACCCGTCGCCACGCCGCCCTCAACGACCCAACAGTCAACCGCCCAAAAACCGTTGCGGAAATCACACACCCGCAACAAAGCACGCGACGCAACATCATGTCACGTGGACCCCGCCGTCAGAAGAACGTCATGCCAACCGTTTGGCCGGCGCACGGTACAATCAAACGACAGAACAGAGAGAAGTAAGACAGGCACTCAGTCAAGGACTCTCCACGCACACAGCCCTTTTGATGCCGCCGCTGCTGCCACGGGCACGGTACCCGAGCGGAAAATGACACGCAGTAAAAAAGGCCTCGCAAGAGAGAAACAATCCACACGTCCATATGCAAAGCGCCACTCAGGCTGCTGCGGCCGCAGGGTCCGTGGACAAAATGCGCCTTACTGAATCCCGCCAGTTATGTCAGTCTCCCCTCCCACCAATGTAGCGCATAATGCACGGCGTGCGTCCACAGGCATCCACTCCCGGTGCCCCAGCAACACTTCAGAACACACATAATGGAGAAGGGAAGCATCATTACACAATGCCAAAGCAGGTAAATAAAAATAGGGAAATCAAAACCACACAGATCCCTCGCACACGCACACAAACACCCCACAGTATCCTCCAGAAGAAGTCAAACAATTTCTTATCCCAGCCCATAATACACGCGTGGTGCCGCCACATCAGCGACCGACAAAAGAGGGAGAGTGCATACAGCATGTCCCTGGTACAAAGTATACGGACAAGCAGAGTGTATGTATATACTGACAGGAACATGCCAGTTGATATAGGCCTTTCTCTCTTGCACCCACTGCTGAGTGTTGGCACCGCGGCGGCAGCGGCAAGCAGAAGAAGCAGCGGAAAGGGACAAGCAGCAGCCGCACTGTTATTGCCGTGGATCGGAGGCGGGGCGTCCTTCATGTCTGCCTCCCAACCCCCGCACACCACCGCCGCTTCATCCTCCCTCGGCGGAGGGTCCACGGCGCCCTGCGCGTCATCAGCGGCATCAGGGCTCCTGGGTCCCGTGGCTGTGGCACCGCCACCGGCCTTGTCGCTGGCGGCCTCATCTCATAATGATTGTCCCACGACAGACGTCACACCATCGGCGGCCACATCGTCGATGTCCGGAACATCGCTCTCCTTCTCCGCCTCCTGCGGCGCACCCGCGGTGTCGCTGGGCAAGAGCACTCCGTTGCCGTCGTGGCACCGGAGGCGACTTCCTTCTCCTCTGGCGACGGATGCTTCTGGGGAGCAGCCGTGTCCACATACTTCGGTGGTGTGACACGGTCGGTCCCAATGCTCTCTGGATCGGGGACGGATGCCCGTAGCAAAGCTTGTTCAGTAGATGCCAGTGAAACCGTCCTGCTCCATACACCCTCTCTCACATCGCCACCCCACGAAACTACTGGAAGCAGGCTGCCGCTGGTGGCGGATATCGTGCACAACTGCGCGTGGTCACGGAAAATAGCTTTTCCCTCATCGTAGGGCGGAGCAACCCACGTAATCGTCGCCTCGGCCGTGCATGGGACACAACGGGCGTTACCCTCTTCAGTCACTCTCAGACGCACCCGCATGCCGAGGCACCGCAATGCCGCATGCATGACAGAACCGAGATGTATGTTTCTTCCGGGTCCCTCGCATCTGTCGTGTTGGTGGGAGGCGTGTCCAGACACCACGAAGAGGGCTTGTCCCCAGGCACCGCAGACAAATATTCTCCCCTCCAAATAACAGCGGCAGCATTTCTCACATCCAGTGCGGGACCAATGATGGGGCAACTGTCCATCGGGCGTTTTCTGACCCCTCATGGATAATTCGTCTGCACACCAACCACTGGAATACCGATCCAACGTGCAGCGTCTGGCAGGAACGCCCCCTTCGCAGAACATCTGGGGATATTCACTCATGATCAGTGCGGAGCGCTTCCTCTGCAGCAGCGCACAGCACGAATTCCTCCACCAGCGCATCAGCTCCGCCATCTCCCACTTCACCCTCATGCAGCCCAGGTCAGCCGGTGCGGCCAGCGTCAGCTCCGTGCGGCAGCCGGCACAACCAATCGGTGCCATCCACTCATCCTTCGCGTGGCGCTGCGACCAGTGCGACTCCAGCGTCCTCCCGTCCCCATCGCCATCCTGCAGCTCCATGCCACCAATGTCGTCGCAGTCGCGGGGCTCCTCGCAGCCACCACGGCAGTCGTCGAGTGCACCACCACCGACAGCGCTCTGCCACGCACAGCACCATGTCAGCATTGGCAACACCAGTGGAACAATGCCCAGCACGCATCGTGAACCGAATGCAAACGCTGCCCGTGGCAAATGGGGGCACAATCAAAGGACCCTCCAGTGGTTGCACGAGCAGACGATCCGCATGCGGTTTGACAGCAGCAGGGACAACTTCATCCTCGAGAATAATCCCGTGCGCAGAGGATACAACGTCGCCTTCACACTCGCAATTGTCATTCAATGAATTCATTGCGTGGTACCTCTCTGAGATCCAATGCTTCCCGGTATCATCCAGGTCCCTTGTGGATACGTTGATGCGGATGGGCGTCCATCCCTCCCAATGACGGTGTATGGCTGCAGCGCACCAACTGCTCAAAAAGGGTGCGTCCCTCACAACAACGCGGATCCAATTCGTGCTGTCGGCACGCATAACATATTCAACAAATCGAGGGTACGTCAAAGTGACAGCAAAGCACCGCTGGCAATCACACCATAAACACCATCACATGCAGCAGCACCAGCGTCTCAAACTAATGTGGGGTGTAGAGCAAGTAAGCCATTGATGTGGGTGTTGGGCAAATACTTCGTGGCTCGCTGAAGCAACAAGGACCGACTGCGTGGGAGAAACAAAGAACAGGAGAATACAAAAGGGAAAATTCAGCCATCCGCACTTTAAGAAGAAAACCAATCAATGAATTTAAAATGGGTGCACCCAACCACAACAGAAGCAAAGATTCGAAACAAAAGAGAAAAACAAAAAGCCGAAGCGTGGGACGACCAGCACACACACTCTCATTGCTCCCGTAAAGCAAAACACACACACAGAGGGAGAGAGAGAGAGAGGTCGCTCACTCAATGCAATAAAACAGAAACAGTTACGGTGCTCCGCCCATGCAGCCAGGCAGGACGGCAGCGGTGCGTGTGGCGCAAAAGAGAGCACCAACGGGCCTGCATGGGTGTGCATGCATATATACAATGGGCACATTATTGTGTGCCTCGTGGGGTGAGGTGAGGGCGAGAGTCCATGCAAGGGGACACACACAGAGAGAGAAGGACGAGCGTGTGTGCGGGCGGTGCACGGCTCTCTCCCCCTCACTCTCACGCGGCCACCACCGCAGCAGCAGCCGCACAGGCAAAAACAAGAAGAAGCAAAAGAGGGGAGGTGGTGTGGGAGACCGCGGTGCTGCCATCACTGTCGCCAGTCGTCGCCGTCGTAGTTTTCACGGCTGCGGCCGTCACTGGTGTTTCTTTCGGATTGGCATCTTTATTTTCATTTTGTTTTCCCTCTGCTGTCCCTGCACCATCAGCTGCTGGATCACCGTCTCCAGTTGTTTGGGTGATGTTGGGATTTGTTATATTCGATGCTCCCGCCGCAGCAAAAGATAAACTTGGCTGCTCTTCAGTGCCTGCTGAGGTCCCCTCTGTGGTGCTGGTAGCAGCTTGTTTCTTTGTCTCCTCCTTTCCTTTCGTATCATTCTCTTCTTTTTTTTCCCCTCCGTCTTCCTTTTCTTCTTCCTCTTCCTCTTCCTCTTCGTCTTCGTCTTCCTCTTCGTGTTGTTCATCATCTTCTTCTTCCTTTTCATCTTCTGTATTTAGACCCGTGTTGTCCATCGCTTCGTCTTCCTTTTTTGATGGTCCTCCTTCGGGTTGTGGTGCCTGTGACGAGTTCGCTGGCGCTTTCTGTGATTGTAACGTCGTTGGTGGTGTTTCTTGTGGCGATTCCGGTTGACCGCTTTGGCCAACTTTTCCAGCGACAGCTGTGGTCACTTCGACTTCTTGAGATTCCTTGTCTTTACTGGGCGAAGAAGCTGGAGAAGTTACTTCAGCTCGTCCACCACCACAGGCACCGCACCACAGCACGCAGAGGGCACACACCAGCAGCACACGGCCAGTCATCATCGCCATCACTCCTGTCTCTTGCGTGCAGCCTTCAGCACAGACTAACAACACGTCAACGCAGAGCAAAAGCAAAGAGAGACAAGTCACACAGCCACGCACCGTCCAATCCAGCAATGAGGGTCACGCACCACAACAACAATAATTGGGTGGGCGCGGTTCAACAGCAATCCACAAACAACAAAAAAGAATTAATCCTCGCCATGACCCGTTCCTCACGCCCACACGGTCACTACAACTGTTATTCCCTCTCCTCAGGCCCTCACAGGCACGCCACGCTCACTTCAGCACGCGCCCCTCCAGCACAGGCAGTCCGTCATGCGCTCCCGCCGCGCCGCAACGTAAGCCACCTCCTCCCAGTCCAGCAGCTCCGTGTCCTCCACGTCCCTCACAATCGCCGCCATGCCACCGCCACTCACAACACACACAGCGCCACAATGTCGTGCCGCCAGTTCGCCCCAATCATGAGCGCAACGCACAACGCGTACTGGCTCACGTGCTCCATGCGCTGCAACCACATGCAAATCAGGTTGGCCGTCATGCACCGCATCTCGTTGTCCTCCTTCGGCATGGAGCAGGCACTACCATCCTCTCAATCAACGGCCTGGTACTGCAAGAGGCTGCCGAGTGGTGCCACGTGTGTGTGGAGGACCCCAATGCGCGGAGCTTAGTCGGCAGCCACCCACGCTCAGTTCCTCGCACCTCCCCGCTCCCCCAATCGCCCACACACAAGGGCGGTGCAGTGGGAGAGAAAGAGAAGTCCGCCGCACAACACATGCACGAATGCACACGCAGCAGCAACGCCATCCACGTCGCACTGCAAGAAAGATCCATGCGCACAGCACACACGCAACCGCAGGGGAATTGGGACGGAGCGCATCCAAGTCCAGAGCACAGTCCTTCACTTCCCTCTGCCCTGACAAATTGGCATGGCGCCTCACAGCAGGTTGTGGCGGATTAGTGTTCCACACCCACAGTGAGGCACGGCGCACACCATCCGCTCCCCTCCGAGTGCACTCAGCAGGCCGGGGCAGGGCGCCCAGCCACCCTCGTGCCATCGCAATGGGAACACAAACAATTGTCGTCGTAGAAGATCGGTGCCTCTAGCAGGAAAGAAAGAGAAATGGAGGCATGGAGGCAGCACAGCCAGCAGAGCGACACTCAACGGGACACGGCAACACAAAGCGACGGTGAGCACAGCACAAACGGAAACAAGCCGCAGCGAGTCGCCCAAAACAAAAAGGAAAAAGTGTGAGTCCAGCGGAACCCACAAAATTAAATAATTGTTCGGGCAGGACTTTTATTTCTTGTGCCTAGAAGCACATGGCAGCCGTGTGCATACATTCTGCCCGCACGAAAAATGGAAACTAAAAAACAGATCTTGCTGTTCCACGAGCCCACACAACACCCTTCACACGTCATGCGGCATGTGGCCTGTTCCTCCAGTCCGCCTTTGTGCACTCGGTGGGAGACACAGCAGTGAGGCCGGCACCGTGTGTGGGCAGCAAAAACAAAACAAGAGGATAAACACGTCACTCATGACAGTGTGCAGCAACCGACCATTAAATAAAGAAACAGCAAGGATACTTATTATTCCAGGAAAACAACAAAGCCAACAGTAAAATGTAAATAATAAAAGAAAACACGCAGAGAACGCGGCGAATGTTCTCCGTGAGGAGTCGCAATTCCACACTCTTCGGCTCACAATACCGCCACAACTACACACAATCCTAAAAGCAGTAGCAAAACCCAATACACGCACACACGCACCGTGCCGTCAACAGTCAACTCAAGCAGTGTCAATTTCGCGTCGTTGCGCAGGGCAAAGCAGTCGCCGGGACTCACACCGCTCCCGGAATACTGCGCGGTGAATTCTCGTAATTGGGTTTTCGTTTCCACAGGCATTGCGTTGAGTCAATCCGCCCGCATCACCCTCAGCAACAAATCCACTGCCTGCAAAGCCATTTTATGAACAAAGGATATTTGTGTCCAGTGGCGTTGCGCTCACTCACCTCGTTCGTGTTATCTGCAGCAACGAGTTCCCTGCCGCCACAAGTGACAGACATGATCCCGGATGCATTCGACACCACTAATATTTTCGGACCGTTGGCAAAGGAAGGCCTCTTCTTGGATGCATTCGGGGCCAACACTGCGGTCAGATTGCTGGCAAACTCAAGCTTCTTCCCGGAAGTGTTGGTCGCCGTGTTGGATGGGGGACTCGGATCAACGGTGTTGGGTCCGTCAGGCGCCGCAGACCGTCGCCAATCCTCGTGTTGACGTGACGGCTCAGCATTAACTTGCGGCGCAGTTGTCCCACCAGATTTTGTGCCATCATTCCCTTCGCGGGGTGGCGGCAACTGACAGATGCCCGTCCGGTCAGCATCGCTGCTCCGTGCAGGCGGATGGATGGTTCCATCGGGATAAAATTGACGCCGCCACAATTCATAAGGGCCGGCGCATTTATGTGTCGTCACATTCATCGTGGAGGCAACGGTGACCCCTTCCTCTTCCTTGCACAGCTGGCAGCACGGTTGCTACATGTGTGCACCGCATGGGCCACATGGCACACAGCACCCAGCTCACCATTCCTGCCATGCATGCGCACATCAAAGTCACTGAAATTATAATTCTCACACTGAGCATCAGCACCGGCAGCAGAACACTTCTTCCACGCCCGCACACACACACGCGATAGCTCAGGCTGCCGTCACTGGGAGCACACGATACATCCACCGGCACAACCACCACACCCGCAGGAAAATAGACTCGGGGTGCGCTTCCTCTCTCCCTCCTCACGCCCACGGAAGAAGACAGCCGCCACACGCAACTGCCAGCATGCACTACAAAAGGTGCATTCAAATCCACTGCAATGTGCATCTTGTGTGTGTGTGGTTGTGTGTGCCTGCAGAAACACAAAGCAAAGAAGCAGAAAAGAGGGAGCAGAGTATGTGGAGGGACGCACAAAAATGTACAGCGGAGACGCATGGCGGAAACAACAACAAGAAGACCGCTCAAACTCATCACTGCGCTGCAGCCCAAGCAGCGGCAATCCACACAATATTTATTGAAAACAAAAAAACGTCCCCCCCGTCTTATGTAAACCCCACCACACAAAATAATTATAAATGAAAAGAAATCGTCCATTACTGCTCCACACAAATTTAAAATAAGAAAAAAATCGCCTGGCTGCCGTGTGGCCACACCAAACCGTCTGTATGTATTTTGCCCACAAAATGAAATTAAAAAGATGGTTGCGTGTGCTTCGACCGTCCGACCCTCCGTGTGTCCGCACATCGTTTATATTTCACGGGTCATCTGCGTGTTGCTGCTCCCCTCAGCCCTCTCACCGGCGCGTGAGTGCGGCCCGCAGAGCACAGTCACTCGTGTGTGGGGGGACTGAGAGAAGCACGCAGACATGACGGGAGTCGCGTCACTCCATCGGGAGAGTGAGCGCAGCAAAAGAAAAAAAAATCATCGGAGGGGAAAGAAATGCTCACGAGGCCGACACCGAAGGGTGCGCCACCGCATGAAATAAGCACGCAAAGCAAAACAAATCCTTAAAGAAAAATACGGCGGCAGGGTGTGGCTGTGTGTGTGGCGCTGCGGGTGTCTGCCCGCCCTGGCCGCAAAGAAAACAAAACAAGAGGGAAGAAATGTGTGCTTCGCCCCACAGGCCCTCGTCGCACGCCCACACGTCACGGCTCCCTCAGCGCGCCGTTCGTCGCGGCCCCTCCTCATGCGTGCAGCAGGCGAGGCGCACAGGGCCGTCGTCATGAGCGTGTCGGTGGGTGTGCGAGTGGAGCAGTTGGGCGGGAAACACACGGCACCCCTCGCAGGAAGAGTGCAGAAGAAACAATTAAAGAGGGAAGAGTAGAAAAGAAAAAAACGTCCATAGTGATTGCCCCAAAAACAAAAAAAAAAAAAGAAGGAATGGGGTAGTAAGAAATAAAAACGAAAAAAGATTTAAACCAGAAATTAGCAAACATTAAAATAAATTTAAAATACGCACAAAAAAAGTAAAAGTATCAGAGATATTCGTTCCAGGGAAGTAATTCTGTGCAGGGAAGATCGCAAGTGTCCCATGCGGCAGCCAGTCACTCCTCACAGAGCCGCAAACCCCACAGTCCCAACAGAAGAAGGAGCGATGGCAACAGTCCGCTCTCACTCATGGTGCCAGCGTCGCTGTTATTCCCCTGCGACAAACTTCCGAGGTTGCTGTTGAGTGCCGTAGCATTTACTTTCCTGACCTGTGGCTGGACCTCTTCCTCCTGCGCATCCGTTCCTCCTCCTCTTTTCTCCATCTTTGGCTCGCCATCAGCAGTAGAACCGCCATCCACAGTTTGAGTTCCATCGGAAGATTTTCCTGACGCCACCTTCTTTACTGAGCCATTTTCTGCTGATGGAATACTGACAGTGGACACCGCTGATGCGGATGCACCGCCACTGTCCGCACCCTGATTTTCATTCAACAATTTAGGCTCCGACGGCGATTGCCCGGCAGAAGAGGACTGCGACGGGGTTCCTTGGGCATTGTCAGGCACCGCAGGTGGAGTGGAGGCTTTATTCGGGTTGAGGGCACCAATCTCTGTGGAACTCAACGGGCGGTTGTACAGCAGGACGTTCGTCACCGTCACAAACACGCCTTCTTGGATCTCTGCGCTGCCTCCATCCCCTCCAATGTAAAAGTGTGAGATCACCTTAGATTCCGTATTTTCCAATTTGCATTGTTCATCCCCACCCACACGCTTACCATCGACGTACGCAGAGCCCTGTTTGCCGTTCTGTAGCACAATGGCCAATTGGTGTTTTTTCCCTGGTTGCCATGTGATGCTGAGCTCCTTGTTCTCTCCGCCATCGCACAGTAATAGCCACTTCTTTTTATTGTTGTACGACAGTCCCAGGAGTACAGTCTTATCACTGTCATTCATCTTCACACCCATCAATGGAATAAGGGTATCTCCCTCCTCCGGCACACCGTCGATGGACACCGTCGCCACAAGAGTAAATTTGTGGTTCGCAAAGTGGTACAGCTGATTCTCCCCCTGCTCGCCAACGGGCCACTGCGCCCCTGCGCCACGCCCAGTGAACTTCACGCCATCGGAGGACCCTGTGGCCGCTGCTGCATCATTCTCCGCTATTGTGGCGTTCACGCCGAGGTATTCGTCCATCCATGTCTTCTCGGAAAATTGGCCAGACAAAAAGCCAACCAGCCCATCCGTGATCTTAACACCGCTGCAGTCATTTTCAGTTAAACGATCTTCCTGAGCAAGTAAAGTGGCACACAGCTTAGAGACACGTTTGTCCACCTCCTTCCAGGTCGTCAGCACCTCCTTCACCCGCTCCAGCTGCGCAGTCAGGAGCACAGAGACCACACCAGGTGATGGTTTCTCATCGTTGTCTTTCTTCTTCTCGTACAGTGCAATCAACTCTTCATTATTATTAGCTTCACTACTTCCATCACTTCTGTACAGCAGGGAGCTGGCGGCAGCATCGTCCCCTTTCCCGGATACCGGCCCAATATCAACAATGTGCGTATTGTCCGTCAGCCAAAGATGAAGTACGCCCTTTTCATTACCATTTTCTTTTTTACTGTCCTCGGGATACACCGGCAGAGTAACGAGCATCACTTTTTTATTATCACCATCATTTCCAAAAGTCGCTGTGATGAACCCGCTTCTTACGCCCTTCTCATGTGGCTTACGGTTGCTGCCCCACACGCGCGAGAGCGTCCCGAGTGCCTCCGTCCACGAATCCCCCTTGTCATCGGACTCGTACACCCTGCGGCGGCCATCAGCACACGCAGTCATCATGATGAGTGTTTTGTCCTTCCACCCCACGACGGAGGGATCACTGCAGCCACCGTCAGACATCCCCTTCGACAGCTTCCAATTCGTATTATCCTTCGAGTGTATGATAAGTGAGATAGTCTTCACATTCACTTCAGTGCCATCCGCCTCCTTCTTCGTGCCTTCCACTGGAAACACAAGTGTCTCGTCCTCCATCTTAACACCCGATCCACCGCTTCCAATCAGCTTTGTCCAGGAATCGAGCTGTGCGTCAAACAGTCTTTGCGGGGAACTCTCAGTATCTTTCCAGACAATTTTTTTGCTATTTGCAACCTCATTGACGCTCCCTTTCACCAGCAAAAGTCCCAATTGATTCGCGTCAGGCTTGGCACTCTGTACGGAAGCGGCAACTTTATTGGTGTAGACTCCAACAAGCATGTAAATATCACTTCCCTTCACAGCAGTTGTTGGTCGGCTCACATCTACTCTTTTATTTGGGTCTTTGGGAGTACCTCCCTCCAGTAATTGTGTCCCATCGTTGGCATTCTTCAGTACTTCCTCCGGTGTGTCAGTAGTTTTTGTCGTGAGAAGTTGGGATGCAATGCCAGTAAAACTGGCATCATCCTTCTTCCACTTTGCCTCGGCAACGGCAAATACGTCACTCCCCACCTTCAAAAGGCTGGGAGCACCCAACGAGTCCAATTTTTCATCACCGGTGATGCCCTCCCATTTAAACTGGGGATCAGCTGGCTCCTTCATACCAACTTGTTCTGCTCCAGTGCTGCAGCGCAACATCGCAAAAACAAGGAGCAGCACCGCAGAGCAGAAGAGATGCCGGGACATGTCGGGTCTCTGCTGCTCACTCTCTCCTCCTTCCCTCCTCCTTCCGCTCGATCCGGTCACGCGGCGACGGTTGTGTGTGCGGGGTGCCCTCACTGCAGCAACACGTGAGAGCATAAAAATATGTGTGCGTGTGTGGACTGTGTGTGTGCTGTTGGTCCTTTCAGAGCCCTCGAATTCCACAGTAGCGTTTAGCGCTTGGTAGAAACTTCTTTCCTTTGTGTGTGAGTGGTTTAGAAAAAAGAGGAAAAAAGAAGTGAACACACCGCCACCCATCCACAGTGAGCGGCATCATCATCCGCACCGCATTCACTCTCAACAAAAACTCACGCACACACGCAGCCGCGGAATGGGTGCTCACAACCACAAAATCAAAAAGAAAAACAAAACAAAAAGCCGAAGCGTGGGACGACCAGCGCACACACACTCTCATTGCTCCCGTAAAGCAAAACACACACACACAGGGAGAGAGAGAGAGAGGTCGCCCACTCAATGCAATAAAAACAAAACAGAAACAGTTACGGTGCTCCGCCCATGCAGCCAGGCAGGACGGCAGCGGTGCGTGTCGTGCAAAAGAGAGCACCAACGGGCCTGCATGGGTGTGCATGCATATATACAATGGGCACATTATTGTGTGCCTCGTGGGGTGAGGTGAGGGCGAGAGTCCATGCAAGGGGACACACACAGAGAGAGAGAAGGAAGAGTGTGTGTGCGGGCGGTGCACGGCTCTCTCTCCCTCACTCTCACGCGGCCACCACCGCAGCCGCAGCTGCACAAGCAAAAACAAGAAGAAGCAAAAGAGGGGAGGTGGTGTGGGAGACCGCGGTGCTGCCGTCACTGTCGCCAGTCGTCGCCGTCGTAGTTTTCATGGCTGCGGCCGTCACTGGTGTTTCTTTCGGATTGGTTTCTTTATTTTCATTTTGTTTTTCTTCTGCCGTCCCTGCACCATCAGCTGCTGGATCATCGTCTCCAGTTGTTGGTGTGCTGTTGGGATTTGTTATATTCGATGCTCCCTCCGCACCAGAAGATAAACTTGGCTGCTCTTCAGTGCCTGCTGAGGTCCCCTCTGTGGTGCCGGTAGCAGCTTCTTCTTTCCCTGTCTCCTCCACTTCGTCTTCATCCTCTTCATCTTCCTCTTCCTCTTCCTTTTCCTCTTCTTCTTCGTCGTCTTCGTCTTCGTCTTCATCCTTAGCTTCTTCATTCTTTTGCTCCTTCTTTTCTTCTTGTTTTTGAACCTTGCTGTCCGTCGTTGTGCTTGACGTTACTGATGCTTCTCCTCCGGATTGTTGTGCCTGTGGCGGCCTCGGTCCACCTGCCGGTAATTCTGACCGCGTTGGTGATGGTGTTTCTTTTGGCGATTCCGGTTGACCGCTTTGGTCATCTCCTGCAGCGCCACCAACGACCTCTTCTTGATTTTGAGGTTTCTTTTCGGGCGTAGTACCCGGAGAAGCTGAAGCTGAAGAAGGTGGTTCAGATGGTTCACCACAGCAGACACCGCACCACAGCACGCAGAGGGCACACACCAGCGGCACACGGCCAGTCATCATCGCCATCACTCCTGTCACTTGCGTGCAGCCTTCAGCACAAACTAACAACACGTCAACGCAGAGTGAAAGCAAAAGGAAAAGGAGAAAGTCACACAACCACCGCACAGGACAGTGACAAACGGCAGCAGCCCAGCAGCAGCAACAAACACACCATGAGGCAGTTGGAACAGTGAAAAAACAAAAACAATACACACAGCCCTGCAATAATTGATCAGCAAGAAAAACACACATGAAACAATTGAAAGCAAAAAACAGAAAACAAACAGCAATAAAGTAAAAACAAGTAAAAAAAAACAAAAAACAAACAGCTGCACCAAATGGATCCTGTGTGCATGCACCCACACACGGACGTACGTCCATGCAAACAGTTGTATGCGTGCAGTGCATATGAGTGTGTCTGGTATACGTTCCACGTGACGGATACAGGGAGCAGCACAACGCGGAACAGACAGCAGGGCAGCGGAAGCAAATGAAGCACAACACAATCATTATTTTCTCTTATTTTTTTACATCGGACCACAGTAGACGCGCACAGCCCGCATACAATTCTTCAGCCCGGAGTGGTGTACGCCAGCGCGGATGCGGCGAGCAGCAGCGGGGCACACACCCACGCAGAGCCGCTGAGGCTGCCGTCGACTTCGCGAAGACGTGACGGTGCGCGGGTGGTCGTCGTGGTTGGCGCCTCAGTAGTCGTAGTACTTGTTGTCTCCGGCGCTGTGGTCGTCGTGGTGGTTGGTGCCTTTGAAGTAGTCGTCGTGATCGTCGCGGCACCAAATTCGGCGACCTGATTTTCTTGTTCCGTGGATGGTTTCGTGCCACCTTGTGGCTGTATCACACCGTTCGTACCTTTTGTCTGTCGTGCATTGGAAACTTCATCTGATTGCTTTTCCGGACCGGTAGAGCCTAGTGTACCTGGCGCATTGTTTTCTGATTTTCCCGCAGTGGCCCCCGTGCCTGGCAACTCTGACTCAACTTCCACCCGTGGTCCTGACTCTGAAGTAGGAGAACGACTCTTGACGTTTCCACCAGCGTCAGTCCGCTCGTCAGTGGATGGTGGCCGCGTTGTCCCGTCCGTCGTACTGGAAGCATCATCCTTCTCCGGAGACTCTGAGGTGCACACGGATGGGCAGCAGCAGCACAGGGCGAGCACCAACAGGGCGCACAGCAGACGGCACATCATCATCGTGAGTGTGGTCGTTCAGTGGTGTGGATTTGATCTCCACAGTGAGGGACATGGAGAGCAGCAGGGGAGACGAGAGGTGCAGCAGACACACACAGAGGGCACACCGCATGAGGAGAGGGCAGCAGCCAGGCATGCACCGTACGCCGCACACACACACACACACACACACACACAGCCGTGCCGCAGCACCAACACACAGATGGAGGAGGGAGAAGCAAACAGGAGCGGCACACAAGGCTCCACCGCATGCACATACGGCGAGAGCGGTCCGTCGTGTCGGCACCCCCCACGGAGGGTACGCACACACACACGAGAATAGGTGCAGCGCGCACATCAACACAAAATCAAAGTAACAATAAAAAAAAGGGATCCCCGCACACCACTCCATGCACGCCGGCCACCACCGCAACAGCAGCACAACCAAAAATAAGCCCAGGGAATAGAAGAGTGCAGGAAACCATTTATTTGTGTTCCTGTTTGAATGTTGGCAGATGTCCGCATATGTTGTTTTGCAGAGGGCAAACCTTCATGCCTGCATCGTGTGTTGGGGATTTCTGCAGGGTGCACAACAATTAGTTTTTCCTCTTGTGAATGTTTCTTGTGTTGGTGCAGCCAATAATTCGGTTTGTGTTGTTCCTGCTTCTCTTTGGTAAAGTGCTGCAATAAAGGATAATCTTCTGAGCCGCTGGCCGAATCCCGAGTTTCTCAATAATAGAAACCAAACACGTTAGAAATAAGTGAGGGATCAACGGAATAAGAGTGGATTCACCACACCCTCAAAGTTCAGCACCAGGTAGCTGTATGTTTATATACCATCCGTCAGCCACAATCGTGGCCCGCTCACTCTATTCGGGTAGGATGCATGTATTTATTTATTACTTACGACGTGGCAGACTTTTGGGGTCCTGCAGCCACAAGACCCCGCCGCGTGGTGGAAACAAAAGGGGGCGGGTGCGATGGCAAAAATAAAAATAAAAATTATCCGGCCGCTGTCGGCTCCCTAAAGTCGTGGCCTCCCCAAAACTCATACGGTAGAAAAGTGTCGTAAAGACGTGTATATTCGTTTTGTCAGGGTATATACACATACATTCATTAAGGCAGCCAGCTCTCCCGCGATCATTCTCTGCACAGGCTCCTAAAAGGGCTCAAACACACCCACAAGACTCCCGGCAAGAAAAAAGGGAAACACGGCGTGACTGACACGACTCAAAGTCATGTTTCTAAGACAATGCATGGATGAATCTGTCGACGCCACACCCGCACCATATGCCATCAACTCCTCCACGGCAATAATCCCGCAGCGTGCGGAGAGGAAGTTTCACGAGCGCATTATTGACGGAGCCAAACAACTGTACCGTCAGCAGAGGGCAGCGATCGGCGGGGGAAGTGAAGGTGGTGGGACTGTTGGGGAGGGTCGATGCGCAGTGTCCCCCACAAATACGAGGCGGGTGAAGTGAAACACACTCGTCTGAACGTCACCGGCCACCGAAATGCATTGCTCCCCGCTGTGAATATTGATGAGCTCGAGGCTGGAGCAACTACTCGCAATGCGTGAAAGCGTCTTCCTGCACTGACGCTGCGATTCACATTAGACGGCCAACTTCAGCACAGTCGATCCACAGCAGTAAAATGCAGCTGGCAGTGACGCTGTGGATTCTCGATTCCCCTAGCAACGAAGGATGAAGAAGAAAACTGGTCTCCCCAGCTGCGCGGCATCCATCCGTTCACTCTGTGCTTCCGGAGTGCCCCGCAGCTGCCTTGAGAGATGCAGCGGACAGACCTCCCTTAGTTTCGCCTCGACCCGTCGACAAAGAATTTCGAGAAGGTGTCGGCACACACCGAAGTCTCCCTCGTGCCCACCAAACAAAAGACACACCCGTTGAGCATCGTCACGTGCATCAACGGCCACGCAAATAAATAAACACCGCAACGCAAAGTGTTTCTTATTGGGCACAAAAGAAAACTGGAGGCGGCGGCCTGGACAACACAGAGATCAAATCACACGCCAGGCAACGCTGAAATACATGCGAAAGGGCCAACGCGGGACCAGCAGCACAACAACTCGAGAGCTGCTGCGTGAACTCCACGGTAAATGGATCACCCCAACGCATGGGCACTAATGACGGCGAGTGACAGCGCAAAAGCCAACAGTTCCGCAAGGCCGGGAATTGTAGGGACGGCATCCAAACCCTCCCAGGATTCGTGTGCCAAGACACGCAAATAATCTGTCTCTCGGTGAAAACCATCATCATCCTCATCGCTCTCTTTGCCGCCATTTGTATTGTCATACTCAAAACCGGTGAAGGAAGGTGCTGCCATGATAATTGTGACATCACCCTGAAGGAAAGAACGCAATGCCTCGAAGTGTGCCGAGTGCAGGCATCCTGTCAGGCGGCGGCACGCCGCACTCCCAAAGAAAAGCGATGAAAGACCGTACAAAAAGCTTTCATCCGCCATCGTAATATCATCCAGCGACTTCGTCCTCTTCTACTCCTTCGGCGCCTCGTCCTTCTCCGCAGCACCAGCTGCCACTGCCGTAGACCACGCTCCTGCCGCACTCACTCTCACGGAGGGAAAAGGAGGAGTGTGTGTGTGTGTGTGCCGAGAACACAGCAACTGTCATCGCCAGAGAAGGTCATCGTGGCACCGTCATCCTTTCAGCACAAACGTCAGCCAACTTCCCTCGTTACCAAAAACGTTCTTGCAGAGCACTGTGCAAATACCCATTTGACTGTGTACGTGTGCTGTGGGAGGAACAGAAAAGAGGAGAAGGGCACAGAGAGGCAAATCAACACAGTAAGAGGCACAGCTGGATGGAGGCGATACATGCGGCACGGTCCCGACTTCAACAATCACGCACGGTGGCAGCACACACACATCCACAAAGCAAAACAAAACAAAACAAAAAACACGGCGGCAGGGTGTGGCTGTGTGTGTGGCGCTGCGGGTGTCTGCCCGCCCTGACAGCAAAGAAAGCAAAACAAGAGGGAAGAAATGTGTGCTCCGCCCCACAGGCCCTCGTCGCACGCCCACACGTCACGGCTCCCTCAGCGCGCCGTTCGTCGCGGCCCCTCCTCATGCGTGCAGCAGGCGAGGCGCACAGGGCCGTCGTCACGAGCGTGTCGGTGGGTGTGCGAGTGGAGCAGTTGGGCGGGAAACACACAGCACCCCTCGCAGGAAGAGTGCAGCAACAAACAATTAAAGGAGGGAAGAGTAGAAAAGAAAAAAACGTCCATAGTGATTGCCCCAAAAAACCAAAAAAAAGGATATGGGATGTAAATTTAAAAAAAAAAAGAATTTTAAAGCAAGAAAGTAGCAAGCATTAAAATAAAGTTAAAATACGCACAAAAAAAATGAAAGTATCAAAAATATTCGTTCCAGGGAAGTAATTCTGTGCGGGGGAGGTCGCAAGTGTCCCATGCGGCAGCCAGTCACTCCTCACAGAGCCGCGAACCCCCACAGCCCCAACAGAAGAAGGAGCGATGGCAGCAGTCCGCTCTCACTCACAGTGCCGGCATCGCTGTTATTCCCCTGCGACAAACTTCCGAGGTTGCTGCTGTGTGCCGTAGCATTTACTTTCCTGACCTGTGGCTGGACCTCTTCCTCCTGCGCATCCGTTCCTCCTTCTCTTTTCTCCATCTTTGGCTCGCCATCAGCAGTAGAACCGCCATCCACAGTTTGAGTTCCATCGGAAGATGTTCCTGACGCCACCTTCTTTACGGAGTCATTTTCTGCTGATGGAATACTGACAGTGGACACCGCTGATGCGGATGCACCGCCACTGTCCGCACCACTGCTCCGCATCGGCTGCCCCTGTTCCGTCAGATGTGTTCCGGCGGGAGTAGACGGAGTTTCGGTTATCTGAGCAGTTGCGACCACCGGAGGAGTGGGAGTTACAACGGAAGCAGAAGAAACTGTTAACGGTTTAGTCGGCTCCTTTACCAAAGATGGAATGGAGGCTTTATTCGGGTTGAGGGCACCAATCTCTGTGGAACTCAACGGGCGGTTGTACAGCAGGACGTTCGTCACCGTCACAAACACGCCTTCTTGGATCTCTGCGCTGCCTCCATCCCCTCCAATGTAAAAGTGTGAGATCACCTTAGATTCCGTATTTTCCAATTTGCATTGTTCATCCCCACCCACACGCTTACCATCGACGTACGCAGAGCCCTGTTTGCCGTTCTGTAGCACAATGGCCAATTGGTGTTTTTTCCCTGGTTGCCATGTGATGCTGAGCTCCTTGTTCTCTCCGCCATAGCACAGTAATAGCCACTTCTTTTTATTGTTGTACGACAGTCCCAGACGTACTGGATTCTCTGCGTCACTCATCTTCACACCCATCAAAGGAATAGGGCCCTCCCTCGTCGGCACCTTGTCGATGGACACCGTCGCCACAAGAGTGAAGTTGTGGTTCGCAAAGTGGTACAGCTGATTCTCCCCCTGCTCGCCAACAGGCCACTCCGCCCACGCTCCTTTGAACGTCACTCCGCCGGCATGCAATGTTGCCTTCGCAGCCCCTTCATTAGTATTTACCGTGGCGTTCACCCCGAGGTACTCGTCCCTCCATGTGTTACCAGAGAAGTTGCCGGACAAAAAGCCAACCAGCCCATCCGTGATCTTAACACCGCTGCAGTCATTTTCATTTGGACGGTCCTTCTCAGCACTTGGGGGGCACAGCTGGGAAACGCTTTGGTCCACTTTATTCCACGTCGCCAGCACATCCTTCACACGCTGCAGCTGCTCAGTCAGGAGCACAGAGACCACACCAGGCGATGGTTTGCCCTCAGCGCCCTTCTTCTCGTACAGTACAATCAACTCTTCATTATTATTAGCTTCACCACTTTTACCACTTTTGTACAGCAGGGAGCTGGCGGCGGCATCGTCCCCTTCCCTGGATACCGGCCCAATATCAACAATGTGCGTATTGTCCGTCAGCCAAAGATGGAGTTCACCCTTTTGAGCGCCTCCCTTCTCAAGCTTCTCGGAATACGCCGGCAGAGTAACGAGCATCACATTTCTGTTATCATCTTCACCATCGACAAGAATCGTCGCTGTGATGAACCCGCTTCTAACGCCACTTACGCCCTGTTTGTTGCCCCACACGCGCGAGAGTGTCCCGAGTGCCTCCGTCCACGACTCCCCCTTGTCACCGATCTCGTACACCCTGTGGCGGCCATCAGCACACGCAGTCATCATCGTTAGTTTGTCCTCCTTCCACCCCACGACGGAGGGATCACTGCAGCCACCGTCAGACATCCCCTTCGACAGCGTCCAATTTGCAGCATCCGAGGTGTATATGAGCAACGAAACGGCTTTTTCATCGTTTGGTGCTTCACCCTCCTTGTTCCCCTTCTTCGTGCCTTCCACTGGAAACAGGAGCTTACCGTCCTCCATCTTAACACCCGATCCACCGCCGCCAATCAGCCCTGTCCAGGATATGAGTTGGTCGCCAAAAGATGCCCGCGGGATATCGGTGGCATCTTTCCATTGGATTCTTTTCTCGCCGCGACTTCCGTCACTGACGTTCCCTTGCACCAGCAATAATCCCCAGTTCTCGGCACCGCTATCCTGAGCACCAACAGCAGCTGCCTGGCTGTATTTCCCAACAAGCATGTAAATATTATTTCCTTCCACGACTGTTGTTGGTCGGCTCACATCCATTCTCTTTGGGCTCGTGGAAGGACCTCTCTCCAGAAATTGTGTCCCTTTCACTTCATTCAGCACTTCCTCCGGTGTATTAGCAGTTTGTGTCGTGATAGTATGGGAAGCAATACCGGTAAAAGTGTGTGCATCACTCTTTTTGCACTGAGCCTCGGCAACGGCAAACACCTCACCATTCATCCCAACAAGGCCGGGAACACCCAACGACTCCACAGTTACACCCTCACCCTCCCCATCCTTGATGTCCTTCCATTTATATTTTGGTTCAGATGGCTGCTCCGGAGCTTCCGCAGCACCTCCAGCGTTGCAGCACATCATCACAACAATGAGAAGCAGCACCGAAGAAAAGAAGTGATGCCTCAACATGTTGGGCATCCGCCGCTCACTCTCTCTTCCTTCCCTCCTCCTTCCGCTGGATCCGGTCACGCGGCGACGGTTGTGTGTGCGGGGTGCCTTCACAGCAGCAACACGTGAGAGCATATAAATATGTGTGTGTCTGGGCGGTGTGTGTGCTGTTGGTCCTCTCAGAGCCTTCGAATTCCACAGTAGCGATTAGCGCTTGGTAGAAACTTCTTTCCTTTGTGTGTGATTTGTTCAGAAAAAAGAGGAAAAAGAAGTGAAACGCACCGACACCCATCCACAGTGAGCGGCATCATCATCCGCACCGCAGTCACTCCCAACAACAACGACAACTCACGCACACAGACACACGGAACGAGGAGGAAGAACAGTGCAAAGAGAACACACAACGACTGTTGCCACCAGCAGGAGCCACGGCGGGTGCTTCTGCCACGCGTCAGCACTCTCCGAGCTACGCCGACACACAAAACAATCGGCGAGATGCAGAAGGGTACAACTGCCCTCGCAACACCAACGCGCCATCGCCAGTCGTTTTACTGTTGTCTCTTCCCGCACCCTCCATCGCACATCGCCCCGCACAGCCGGAGAATCCTCCGTCGCTGTACGAACAGCGAGAGGAACACGTCGGCACGTGAAGCTGTCAGGAGAGAATCCATACGCATATCTCCCAGGCTCCCTCAATGCCGCGCCGCACACGGGCAGCACGCCAAGAAAATCACGCTCGCAGCACGGCAACAAAATAATATCGCAGTCATCCATCATCCCTCCTCGAAAGGGCCGCCGCAGCCAAAATCTTGTGCGTGTGCGCGTTCTCATCATTCACGCCGCTCCACAGCGTGTGCATGTGTTTGTGTGTTTGTCAGCGCCTATACTTGCAGAGCAGATGTGCGGAACACAAGAGAGTCAAAAAGGCAACAACAGAGAAGCGGATAGCACACACGCAAATTACTCATATCATCACACACACACACGCAGCCAGCGGAATGGGTGCACCCAACCAAAACACAAGTAAAACAAAAACAAAACAAAAACAAAACAAAAAGCCGAAGCGTGGGACGACCAGCGCACACACTCTCATTGCTCCCGTAAAGCAAAACACACACACAGGGAGAGAGAGAGAGGTCGCCCACTCAATGCAATAAAAACAAAACAGAAACAGTTGCGGTGCTCCGCCCATGCAGCCAGGCAGGACGGCAGCGGTGCGTGTCGTGCAAAAGAAAGCACCAACGGGCCTGCATGGGTGTGCATGCATATATACAATGGGCACATTATTGTGTGTGCTTCGTGGGGTGAGGTGAGGGCGAGAGTCCATGCAAGGGGACACACACAGAGAGAGAAGGAAGAGTGTGTGTGCGGGCGGTGCACGGCTCTCTCTCCCTCACTCTCACGCGGCCACCACCGCAGCCGCAGC